TCTGACCCATATTGCTCTACGTTCTGTCTTAATTCTTCCTGTAGTTTGACTGTGCAACATAACTTGCATGTTATATACCTGTTCTTACCTCGCTGACCTACCATGGTACTCCGAGAAGATTTCTTTGGAATTTTTTTAGCTTTTACACAACTCCTGCTGTTTGTCTAGGCGCAAGTGGTTAACCTTAAGGTTACTTAAGGGCTGTCAGGCAGCCTTTATGTGTTACGATGCTTGCCGTATGTAGACATAGCGAGAGAAAAGATGAAGAGACTGACATCTGGCTGCTACTTTCATAACCACAATGTGGACCGTGTGAAACCATCAATGTTACCCAATCGATATCCAGGCAAGCCAAGCACGTGCTTAGAAGTACCCTTGTTGCCAGTCACAAACAGCTTTAAAAAGTAATTAGCCAAAAGGTTGACATTTGACTGAATGTGAAGAAATGAATGAAGGACACCGCATGCGTAAAGATGGTAGTTTTGCAGAATCATTTATGATTTACAGATTATCTGTTACGAGGCTTACCAGGGCATACTACATTCACCATAAATAAAAACTCAGTTGTTGGAAAGCAAAAGCTTGTTAGAGCATGAGTACCGGCTTTCGGACAAGATCATAGTTGTTATCCACTTGCCTTAGAAATCGATGCAGGAGTAGCTAAAGTTTTGGTGAAGTGTTTAACCTCTTAGAGCTCGTGAATTAGTAGCATATGACCATTAATTATGATCACACTTACGCTGCCATCGTAATGCATGCCGTCATGACAGTGAGTTCCTGGCGCGGAATCTTGTTACGGGAAAGCCATCAAGTATGCAGGTCCCCACCATTTGTTCATCAGTATCCTGCATTTTCAAGGGCCAAAGATGCTTCCCTCAGACGTCCTCATCAAAATTCTCCCATAATGCGCATCATCACCTTGGAGCGAAAAACGCAACGGGTAATTCCACCGATACCGACTGGCACTACGCCGATCACATATATAGTTGTTATTAGCCGCAGCACAATAACAGCTTTATATTTTGTTCATTAATAGGCTATAATTTACTCAACTCGTGAGCTTTCCCGACCGTGTTGTGTACACAACGCTCCGTCGCTTCCATTTTCTACAAACAGCCTTGACAAGGCGCCTGAATATTCATGAGCCTCACTGGCGCTTCGTTCTGTATTACAGTCTGAGCCAAGAAGCTCATTCCTTCCATTTCATAATGCATCTTACAAGCCACCACAGTATAAGTTCAAGGCGAGAAGCTGCATCACTAAAGCGCCCCACCATGGTGGTTTAGTGGCTAAGGTACTCGGCAGCTGACTCGCAGGTCGCGGGATCAAATCTCGGCTGTGGTGGCTGCATTTCCGATGGAGGCGGAAATGTTGTAGACCCGTGTACTCAGATTTGGGTGCACGTTAAAGAACCCCAGGTGGTAAAAATTTCCGAAGCCCTCCGCTACGGCGTCTCTCATAATCAAACGGTAGTTTTGGGACGTTAAATCTCACAAATCAATCAATAATTGCATCACTATAGCACAGATCATTACTCATGAACTACTGATTACTCATGATCATTACTCATGAACTAGCCTGATAATAGCAATAGAATACGCTATAGTTCTGCGCCCAATCTCGGAAATATTGCCCCGCCGCAGTGGTCGAGTGGTTAAAACACTCGGCTGCTGTCAAATCTTGGCTGCGGCCGCTGCATTTTCGACGGAGCTTGCGGCCGCTGAATTTTCGATGGAGGCGAAAATGCTGTAGCGCCGTGCGCTCAGATTTGGGTGCACGTTAACTTACCCCAGGTGGTCGAAATTTCTAGAGCCCTCCACTACGGCGTCTCTCATAATCATATTTTGAGCTTGGGACGTTAAATCCGCATAATATTAATGTCGGAAATGTAGGCGGTGTATAACAACATACGGGCATCGTATGGGCACATTGCGGCTTGTTTGCCTTAATGTGTGCGACACGCGTCTTGACGAAAGCATGGGTGACGTCAACACTAGCGAAGCATGCCAATCACGTTATAACGAGCAAGAATCACTTGGTCAATCACCATTGCTTCCGAACCAGCCAAATACGACATTTTGCATTCACATTCAGTGGTTATGGCAACCACCAGCTACTACAAGCTTTTTTTTTTTGTAGTGTTCAATTGCTCTGTATATAACGTCCCAGGATTTTTAACTACAAAAAAATTAACAAAATGCCTCTTAACGATGTAGTTCCGTGTTACCCGTCACTCAGTTATATCTTGTCTACGCTGTTGTCATAGCGATATTCTAAGGACACGGAGGGCTATTTGAGTTTTTTTCATAGCGAAACTCCTGACTTCTATTCGGCCGGCTACACCACACCGCTGATTAAGGAAATGACATCTTTTACAAGAGGCCAAAACAATCGTGCAACACAATTTGCGAAAATAAAAATGCTGAAATGCCTATTGTAAGTTACATAACGTGGGAAATTCTGCATGAAGTAAAAGAACTCATTGTGTCCGGGCTAATTTATTGTAACTTTACTCGCCTGCAATTCCAGATGGCCAAACTTGAGTGATTATTATGTAAATTAAAAAATTGAAGAGTTCTTATGGTGTGATCTTAAGTAAAGTAATGTCTGAAGTGATTAGTTTACTTATTAAAGGCGCTACTAAATGATAAGCACCCTTCTGAAATAATAGTAGTGGATGACGAATGGAAGAAATGAAAGGCAGGGAGGCCAACCAGACACGAAGGTAGTAGCAGTAGCAGTAGTAGTAGTAGCAATGGTGTTAGTAGTGGGAGTATAGTAAAGGTAGAAGAAATAGCAGAAGCAGTAGTATCAGTAATAGTAGAAGTATATAGCAGTAGCGGAGCCGTGAACGTGTTAGTAGTCTTAGTAGTATGATGGCTGGGATCTCGCATCCCAAAACCACTACATGATTGTAATGAACAGCGTAGTAAAGAGCTGTGGACATTTTTACCATCTGTTGCTGTTGACGTGCACCTGAATTGAAGTACAAGGACCTCAAACTATTTCGCCCCCATCGGAAGTGAGAGTAGTAGCAGCAGAAATAGTTTTTGTTGTTCTTGTTGCTCTCGTCATCATCGTTATATATAGCAGAAGTGTTAAGTATATCTATGGTATTGCAGCGACAAAACCAGCTGGAAAGTTAACCTTGTTTCTCCTCTGAGTTTCTTGTTGTTCGATCAAGGGTGAAAAATGAAAACATATGCCACTTGCCTTCACGCGGTATCAGGAACAATGGCGAAAACTAACGCGTCAGTCCCATTAGGAAACAGAGCGTACATGCACCAGTTTCCTGGCTTGGTAGTAAACACGTGTGATGTCCCAGACCCTGTTCGCCTCGATAAGAGCATACGCAACTAATCTCCCGTTATGTGCTACACGTGGTTAATCATGAATGATCATTTTTTTGCAGCCGGCTTTCCCGGCAGCCACCGTGAGCAGAATCAGCGATCACGGTTAGTTGTACAAGTGACGTCACATGTTGCAACCGGATACGGAAAGTGTAGGAAGAGGTGAAAAAGCACTGAAGCGTATAAAAGTAGCGCAGTTCCATCGGCAACTCGCCCTCGAGAGCGTCACAGGATTATTGCCGGCATTTACGCCAGCCGATCCTTCGGGCCTTTTGCGAACGCTGCTGACTTCGGTTATTCGCCGCCGAGACTGCAAAGAGTAAGAACAGTTGCAACATTTGAACGCGCGTTAGCAGCTTTAAGAAAACGTGCGGAATCTACGCCAGCTTAGGCCTTTTCTTCATTCATTCTCCTATGGTCTTCAGGCAATTCAGAGGCGCAAGTCTTTTGACAGGCATGCTCATGTTGAATAGTCTCGACCAGATCAAATGATAGCTGCTGTTCCCTTGTACCATTATTTCCATAGTGTTTCTATGCTTCGAGCGTTTTTGGAGCGTGAAAAATACCTGGAAATGTCAAGCAAGGCATGTAGTACAACACTTTCGTATTCTTACTGTCGACTGCGATTCACCACTGCGTTTCGATTAGATGAATCGTGGCTTCTTGGATTCCGTTCACTTCCGCACGCAGCTACCAGCTTCTCCTGCAGGTAGCTTCAGGTGCAACTGCTCTGCAGAGGCTGTTTTGAGTAGAGCACTTTTTTTTTTCACCACATGCCGCTTGGTCTAGCCAGAATTTTTTTTTTCGTGTTTCGTTGTGTACCGAAGGCATTCGGTGAATTTGTTTTAGATACCGCTCATATTCTGTAGCCAAAGCAATATTTAGCTTTGCTGGTTGCCATTTTATGCATTGTCATTGTAACCGCTTTTTCTTAGCGACCTTCTTATTCTTTCCATCGCAGGGGCCGCAATTCGTCGCCATGGCGTCGAATTGTACAAGTTGGTTTCTGCTGCTCGCAGCTGTGGTCACTCTGGCAACGACCACCACCGCTGCTATGTGAGCACCTGCTTTTCGCGCCTTCTTTCTCGCGTGCCTTCCTCGCGTGTGGTCCGAAGTCAATGAAAACACATTACGGTCTGTCCAAAGCTTGCAAACGGCTTTCGCTCGAGCCCGTAGTCACTGCCCTTGTGCTTCGTGTACATAGAAATTGCCGCACGTGTTGATTGGCATGAATCGGTGGCATCGCGCACATGTCTCCAATATCTACGATGAATTATTGTTGTTGCGAAACACGCCTACAGTGTGTTTGATAAATGTGCATGTCTGGTAAATTTAGGGACGTGTCTGGTGCACGATTCTACCCTGGTTCAATTACATCGGCCACGCTGCATCTAGGCACCCGCCTTTTGATATCGATATCCTGACTCTCCAGACTACATTGTCACTACGGTTTTCAGTCGTGTCTTGCATCACCCTCATTACACACTCCTCCCCCAGCCCAAACGTTGTGTGATGTCCTTGTGCAATCCATCCAGCACCATGCTAACACCTGTGCGGCTCGGGCTTTTTAGCGTAACCTGGCGCCTGTACTGCGTTTCACTCAAAGCTCTAACCGTATCGCTTTCTGCATTTTCTTTCTTTTTGTCGCAGAGAATATTTCGTGACTGCACCGGGATATTTGACACCTAACGCGGACATCAAGCTCACAGGCCGTAGTGCGAAACCCTCCATCCGCCGGCCAACTGGTTGTGGAACTATGGGGCACTCGATCGGGAATCAACCAGAACAGCACATGTCCTGGCTACACAAACCTATGACGTTGGTCCGAAGGGTAAGCTTCCAGATGTCCTACATTTTTTTCCTCGCCTATCTATGCCATCAGGTCATAGCATCGAGTCTTTCCTTATCACATTCTTAAAGCCCACCAACTTTGTGCGTCTTCCGTATATTCACAAAAGCAAATGAGTGGTAGACAGTTAAGAGGAGTTTAGGACAAATATTGTATTATGCTTGATATTATGTGTACCAAGCATGACGGCACGCTTTCGAAATTCACTGCGGGTGGGTTCCGCGCAGCGTGATGTGCAGTTGAACTAATTTAAGCACACTCGACAAGTTTAAGTTCCTTCAAAAGACATGATGTTGAGCAGAATGTCATCTATACTGCCCATCACTGTACTTGTCACTTGAAAGTCTGCATTTCGCAAGTTCTATAACCGGTTTGTGTTATTGGAAAGTATACTACGCCATCGTCTAGCCTCATCTACGCAGAATGCAGGGCAAGTGCTACCGGGCTTCTCGCAAACTATTGGCCTATCAGAACGACTCCTAGTGGATAGATTTTGTGGTTGCATCTGTCCTTCGTTTGTTCATACTAACTTTTCTCACCTTTACTCCCCCCATACCTGTGAAGGCCAGCATAATGGCTCCTAAATTCTGGTTAACTTCTCTGCCTTTCTCGCATTTTCTCTTTTGAAGTCTACCCAAGAGAAACAACAGCTACAACAACGCTACGAGCTCGCATCATACACTGACTTCAGTAGCACAGCAACATCGGTTGCAGTTTCTGTAGTTCATTTCATAGTAACTTAATCTTTGCTACAGGTATTTATTTCTTGCTGGTTCATATTGCCTTCGGCACTTGTACTGCCATTCTTCTGCTTGCCTTGCAGGCATCGACTCTGAACTTCGTTTCGGCGTCCCCGAACTTGAACCCAAGCGAGTTCTACAACATGTACCTCCACGTGACTGGCCAATTTGGAAGTAGTCAGTTTCACAACAAATCGTTCGTTCAACTTGAGTATGTAAACAACATTAACGTCATCGTACAGACCGACAAGCCCATGTATCGACAAGGAAGCACAGGTATGTGTTCACCTCGGCAGCAATAAAGCCTGCCCTTTCGCGCTCTAGGTTGCGTCTTTTTTCACGACTCCTTCGCATGTGTGATTACTTCCTACACACTGCTTTCCTGTCGGGCTCCCCCTAGCACTATTTCTGCAGCCCATATACATCTCTTTTCGAGCTAATTACAATATGCTGTGCGTCCTTTTTGTAGGTGACACAATGCACCTCGTTCTGTCGGGTTTTCTGCCAGTATTCTTTTTTTTTTTGCTGCTTTACATCTGAGCGCCATTGTTCTTCTTGGAAAATGGCCCATAAAACCATACCCCACTGGCTGTCTCCAGCTAACGTATTTCTTGCTTGAGTGAAACTTCAATCTTGTACCCTAATAACTATACTGCCTTCATTGCATCATGATTATCGCACAAATCCTCATGTTTACCTACCAATCTGCATTCGCATGCTTCTCCCAAGATATATCCCCGACATATCTGCATCTCTTCAAAAAATTTTTTTCGTAAACAACGCATCAATACTAAAATTACTTATTCCAATGTCCTCGCCTTGCAGTCAACTATCGGATCCTTCTAGTTGACAACGAACTGCTGCCTGTCACTGACCAGCTGGTAAGCAATCTTTTCATTTTCAACTCTTCCATTTCCTCGTTTAAGTTACGTAGTCTAGTACATGTTTCTTCATTATTATATCCCATAGTAGCCCATGTGCAGACATCTTACTTTTCCTCATTTGCGTGAGTCTTTCGCTACCTGTTCAAAATTCAGTTATTCACTTGCCTTCCTGTTCAACGGCCGAGTTTACGGAAAATTTATGCGTTATTTTTTAATGGTGCACCTTCTACACATATCGTTCCTTGCAGACGAAACCTTCGTGTGAAACATATTGACGCGGCCTTTTCGGGAAAGCACTTGGCTTATGACATTTTTAGTTAGAGTCTATGGCATAAACTACTTGCTTGTCACTTTGACTGTTCTGTAACGTAGTCGGTACACGAGTATACGTACATTGGGTTACTCAACACGGGCAGAGTAAGTCATGCCATACAAAGTTCGTGAAAACCGACCTTGTTCCATATAACACACTTCCATGGCAGGTGTCAACTTCATGAACACTCATTACCTTCATTGTCTCACAGGCAAACATCACAATCACAAATCCCTACGGCCAGCTTCTGTTCCAGCAGCAGTTTGTGAACTTCAGTGACGGTATGTTGCTTTTCCCGAAGCAGGAGACTATCTGCGCATCGCATCATTCTTTCTTTCTTTAAACTTGAGTTTTGTTTTATCGTAGGTCTGTTGCAAAATTCCTACAAGCTTCTTGATATTACTGACGAAGGCATATGGACGATTGCAGTATCGGCTGGTACTAACTCTGGATCTACATCATTTGAAGTCCGAGACTACGGTAAGTCCACGTGGCAGACTGCAACTACTCAGCCCCACGTGAACTTAACTCTATATTGCATTGCGTTCAGTCTGTCGAATGTCTGAAAACCGAGCCGCAACCTGAAAAAAAAAATCCAATAGTCACATGCCGCACTGTGACGCTCTATTTCTTTACACACTACATTGCAACACAATAGCACTGCAAAACTCGTTTCGCAGAAATTTCGCCATCATTGGTTTTGTGCGAAAGATAAGTTTGTCCATGATTTAAAATTGATATGCAATTAAAATCAATTTCCAGGTCTGACTCACGTTCTAACCCTTGCCCTTTGCGTGGCAAGTCACTGTTTTTCCCGCATCTGCGTGGAAAAACTGTAAAAATAACGTTGATGCTTTACAAACACGCGTCTTGTGTACAGGCTTCACAATATATTGGGTGTCTTCATGCCGGCCACCCATTGCATAATGAACACGCGTTACCTTCTCGAGTGGCTGCAGAGCAAATTCGAACACGCCTCGCCTGCATAACTGCTCGTGGATTAAAGCATGCTATATAAATCGTACTTGTGCGAAAGATGCACCGACACAAGCAGTGTTGTCGCACCTGCACGTGTGCGGCAACTCTGCATGTGTGTGGCAATACCGGTATATAAATCACACATTTGCTAAAGCTGCACTGACGCAAGCCAATTTCAACTTTCTCGACTCCACATTTTAGTAATCCGCAATTTAACACAATAAAATGTGTACCAAGTGCTTACAGTGCGCGTTCGCAATGGGCCCTCGCCGCATTCCACTATTACAGACAGAGCTGGGGGTATGACCGGGGGGTGTCACCGGTGATGCCCCGGAGCTGGGGTTATCGCTAGGGTATGGCCTCGATAATGCCAAGTAAATTTTACCTACATGTTATTTGCTTAGACGTCCTTTTCCTGACACCCAACGAGGCAACTGAAATTTGCTTCATTGCAGCTTTGTTGATTGGTTTTGTTTCCGCAGTGCTGCCGAAGTTCTCGGTCACCATCACACCGGACGGGAACGACGTCGTTACGAATCCCACGGTACTCTACACTGTCTGCGCAAAGTAAGTCGTATAAGCAGCACGAATTATCGCTTGTAAACATCCCTGCTCGGTATATATTCCGGAGTATGGCAGTATGCACCCCATTCTAATGACGCTTCATAAAATTTTGCTGAGGCTGTAGCGTATCTTATTCAACAATCTCTAACTACTTTTGTATTGCTCCTTCGGGCAGCGTCGCACAAAAAAGGTGTCCCCATATTTTTATCAAAAGGAAGCACTTCCTTCAAATGCCAGCATTCATCCCAAAGCAACTCCGAACTATTTTCTTCCCTTCTATACAATGTTCCTATTCTGTACCAACTAACATAAGCTGTGGCTGTCACAGCATTTATTCTGTTCAGTGCATATGTCACCCCCTAGTTCCGCAATGCTTACTTTAAACATCTGATTCTTCAAATTTCATCTCGCTCACCCCCCACCCCCTTCGTCCACACCCAGGTACACCTACGGCGAAAGCGTGAAAGGAACTGTGCAAATCTACACGTCTCCGTTCAACTACTACTATCCCGTGCGCCAAAAGCCAGTCATTCTTCGCGTCGCTGAGGTAAGTTTTTTGGTCAAGACTACAACTTGCTACAGGGTATGGCATGTCTTCCCGAACACACTGCGTCAACACTTTTTTTTTCTCTCGGTAGCTGCATTGACTGTCCCATTCTTGTTGGTGAATTTAGAGCTATTTCCGCAGTGCGTGGACGAATCGCATCAAATCCCATAAGCGAACATGTGTTCTCAAAGCACCATTTTTTAGCGCCACACATTACATTACTAATCTTGTTGTACAAAAACCTCACTGGGTCATTTTCCTTTATTTAGCAACTACAAAATATTTAGTATGTTAATTTAAACGGAGTGTCATTCAAAGTTCAGTTTCATAAATCAGTGCTAATGTTTTTTGGTGAATAATCACTAAATGAATAATCAATTTGGTGAATAATCACTAAATGAATAAATCACTAAAACTGAAGACCGTCTATTGCTCAATTTAATACCAAACCAACTCTTGGCGGATATTCTTCCGAATTCTTTTTATTTGGACATGCTCGCTTGTGTAACCTGTCATTCTTTTTCCTTTTCCTTCAGATCAACGGGTGTTACGACTATGTATTCAACGTTTCACTGCTAAACACTGTGAACTACACCTACCCTACGTACCCATCGATCAACGTTACAGCCAAGGTCATCGAAGCTGGCACAGGTACGACTGCCTAGAGAGTGGCTTTTCTACGCTCTCCCCAATTCTTCGCATACATACTCCAGAGGTGGTCATCGCTTTTCTGCACTTCTTGCAGCACAGCTACACGACCATTTCTCAATTGGATTTCGACATGACAAGTATTCTTTTGTGCTTGCAGGTGTGTCACTATCTGCCACCGAGCTGCACAGCCGAGGCACCACACGCCTTAGGCTGAACTTCGGACAGAAATACAGCCCCAATGGCCAGTACACGAGTACTGAAAACACCTTCAAACTCAACCTCCTCAACAAAGGACAAGTAAGCAAACCTACTCGGCCAGCAGAATCGAACGTTGAGCTTGTATGATGTGCATGGTATTACTTCAGTTTCCGTGCACGAAGAAACGCAAAGGAGCAGATGACAAGCGTTCGTCCTGTTCCTTTGTGCTTCTTCATACGCTTCAACTGCAGTTATACCATACTACTCAGCCAAATTTTCGCCCCGCTTGCTTTGCCCTGCGTGGCGTTCAGGCCGACAAAGATTTCTCTAGGCTTTGTTAAGCTAAGTACCGGCGCTTTGAACCTTCGATTCTATTCCGTGAGAAACTTGGTCAAGTGCGAAGCTGTTCAAGTTGCCATTATGGATCTCTTAGCTCACCATTTCGGTAAATTGCGTTACGGTTAGCACAAGTAATATCCAAAGCGGCCACCATTTATCACTTTAACCATTGTTCACAATGTGGTGCCTTTCTTTGTGTCGGCGTGAATGTCTGCTCTGGTTGGCCAACGGGTATACGTAACTTAAGGGCGCATGCAGCCCTTGGAATTAATACGTCCCAGCACACCTCTTTCGTGCGAAGGCTTTGTGCAGCCACAAAAAAAAAGGGGGGGGGGGGCTAAAGTATTGCTTAAGCGTTTATAAAAGACTGGCTAATCATAGCGGGCATCTTATTCTTTGCGGCATTAGACATATGAGCAGCTGTCCGTCCAAAATTTCATTCATCTGCTTATACAGGTAAACATAGGCATGTGAACAGGTTCCTCCGCAGCGTTTCTTCTGGTCACATATTGCCCCATGTTGGCAGGGACTCGCGTTTGCTTCGTGGAGTTGTAAGAAGCTGCAGTATCGAATATGTTAGTGCCGATTTATACAGCCATTTGAAGTCTACCCTTTTCTGTTGACCTGCTTCTCCTTTACCTTCAACTATTTTATTAAAATCTATTTATCTATATTTATCTATAAAATCTATTTATTTTATCTATTTTAATGAACCCGAAGTCGTCCTTTATTGTAATCGAGCACTGCGCTTACGTTGCCACATGAAATATCGACACGGCGTCTTTTATACGCACTTGGCAACAGCGTTTCACTTTCGTCGGCATTTTAAAAACCGTAAAGCTAATTTCATCGCTCTTGCACGCATAACGTTCTACTCCCGTACACAGCCCAACGAAGTGCTCCGGCATTTCTATTAAGGCTAACATGGTCTTCGTGCAATACCTGCGTCGCACACATCTGAAAACTGTGCAGGCATCCCTCGAAAGCTGTTCTGTTCTTTCAGGCCATAGCCGTCAATTACCCGCGCATCATCATCAAGAACGGACCCACCCTCGAGAAGCCGACGACGCAGCAAAACTTGGTTCCTTTCTATTCGCCCACGGCAAGCTCTATTCGCATTGACCGCGGAGATGACAGCGTGTACACGTGCCAGGCCAGTTTTGTGCGAGACATCGTCATGACTGCTGACGCGAATGTTGACTACCAGCTTTTTATTACGGTAAGAATTTTTTCTTCCATTTTTTTAAGGTTAGTTTGCGGTAACGTTTTTCGTTGTGCTCCTCGCAAGTGACTTATTTCGACCTTCTGGAAATAAGCAAACGACCGCTCCAGCTGAGAAATCTCACGGATGTTAATCTAGCATTCGGTTCTGTCGGCTCGGTTGATCAGCCCTGTCCTTGTGTTCACATCACTAATACAGACAATAGCCGAATCCGAGGCATGCTCACTACGACGTTGCTTTAGCGTAATTACTAACCATATTTTCCGGCTTCGCCTTGCCCCAGCGGGCACTTTCAGTCTCCAAGAAGTGACCTAGCTGCAGTCTGAATCATGTTTGTGCAAGAACTTTGAGATCAATTTTTTTTTTATTTATACCAATACAGGAATGTTGCTTATGTTTAGTATACATAAAGAGGTCCCAAGGTCGAATGTCGTATCGGGATCTCCTGTTCAGGGCAGAACATGATTTCCTTAAAAATAGTGGGAATAGTATTAAGCAGTGAAACTGGAAGTTTTGTTTCAAGCGTATACTCACTCGCCATCAAGTTCCCGACAGACGCGTTTCATCTCGTGTTACACCTTCAGAATTTTAACCTACGCTCTCTCCCTCTTTCAATACTTTGCAGCTTAATTCTGCCGGCCGCATTCTGGAGACTCGCAACTTCACCAAGCGGTTCACCGAAGCGGAAATCACTATGGTCCAAACTGACGACAATTTGATCAAGAACGATGACGCTCCGCCCGACAGCTCTGGTCCCCAGATTACCGAGCCGGCAACCACACGCTCGGTGGGCAGCTTCCAGTTCAAGTCCACACTGCCTCCAAACGCCAGCCCGAAGGTACAGCTGCTAGTCTATTACGTGCACAGAGACTCCAATGGGAACCCTATCGAAGTCGTCTCGGACTCGGCGGAATTCAGCGTACAAAAGTGTCTCGAGAACAATGTAAGTTGTTAATGCTTCACTGTCGCGCCACACTGCCGGTCATCCAATACGGTCATCCAGTTCATGCTCTCCATTATTTTGTTCAATTAAAACTAATACCCAAACTTTCGCGACCTGTTCTTGCGCGCGCAGTTTGCACCGCGGTGCATTCTAATGCATACAATTGTACTCCTTTCAACCTTTTTTTTTTAAAGCACATGCGCAAGAACCACTTAACGCTGGAACCTGCGCACCCTTTTCTAATTTGCGTTTTTTTCTTTCTTGTCAGGTGACGTTGACGTTTGATCCGAAGAAGGCTTTGCCCGGTTCCAACGTGTCTCTCTCGATTGATGCTGCCGGTAACTCTCTCTGTGGTGTCGGGGCTGTCGACAGCAGCGTTACCCTACTAGATGGATACAACCGAAGAAATTCCAGGGATGCTGTGAGTGTTAAGTGTTCTCGCGTAGACATCGGTGATCATCGGTAACCTTCAGTGATCTTTACGAGCGGTACTAGTCGCGTCCATCTCGCCTCGCAGACAAAACACGGCTACACCACCATTCTGAAAGTTGTTGTAGTCTGTGCCATTCTTGTAACTTCTAGTTAATGCTTTTTCGACTGGTGTCTAAAATTGTTAGTATATTAGAAATGTCTTGTTGCTCTGAAAGAACTGATGTGTTTTCAACTAATTTCTTCTTTTCGGCGCAGATTTCTAAGCGTTCATAGGACTCAACATTGTGATCAACTGCAGCTTCCATTCGTGACGTTCTTAAATCTGTTAACTGGGTAAAATATTGGCGAAGTAGCCGCACAGCCCCGGCGTGTCTTCTCGGGTTTTTCGCATTGGTGGTGCTTACCAAAAATTTGTAGCTCGGGCATTATCTCCACTGTGGACCATAGGTCTGCAGTGTTTCTGATAAAAATAAGATGCCGTGCACACATTACCCAACTTCACGCCAGGCTTTTTATTGGTGTTGAGACGTCATGCTGTTGCCCCGTTGCCATACTGCACTTAACTGCAACGCATGCTGCTACCTAGATATTCTTGTGCAGGTATGACTGCCTATTAATACGTCTGCTCTCCTTGCACTCGTCTATGCTTTTATTGCAGCTTCTCAGCCAGATAAGCAACCTGAACTACAGATACACTCACACATCTCTCGTCAACCAGAGCTATTGCTACGTAGGTAAGTCGATTTCCTATTCCTCAAAGCTGGTCCCTTACTTAACCCGCCCTATTGCCATCCGGTGCGGTTACACCACCAGTCTTGCCAGCGTGTGCTACTCTAGTTTGCCGATCCCGCATATGGTACATCATATTGGAGGCTCAAGACCAGGGGCATTATTACTCATGGACTGTAGTCATAGCCAAACGAACTCGCTGTTTAGAGCAGGTCAATTGAATTCTGCTAAAACATTCAATGACAGAAAGCCAAATTGAATCACAGAAAGTAATACTTCGATAAAAATTGCGTCATTCAAATATTTCAAACTAATTCGGCCTCCTTACATGGCACCTGTCCTCACATCGCAAAAATTTGGTACATGTCTATTTCTCCAACCCACCGAAAAGTTGTCTTTTCACCACTCGGGATGGGCACGAACTCTCAAAGCCTCCTTTGTTGCATTCGCTACCACATCAGTATTTCCTTTATGAGCAACAATATAGTCAATAGTCACGTTACTCAACTTCGATGTTCTAGATAGTTTCCTAACACCACTACGTGAACTTTACTTTCTTCTTATATTCAGATTTTATTTCTTCATTCGGTCAAATGACTCAACTTTAACGCAATATTCCACTGTTTCACGATTCCGTTTACCCTACCTTGTCTGCAGATGGCCAGCTTTACAACGAACTCTACGAGGCCTCTTCCAGTGGTCAAACCAAAGTGCCTAGGAGGAGGAGGCAAGCAGTATCTCCCTCGGTATCTTTCAGCTACGACTCCCTCACTTCTTTCGAGGTACGTTTTATACCAGAACTTTTTCCTCCACATGCTTGATGAAATGAGATAATCTACTTGCTTCTCAATACCGTTATTTACTTATAGAACTCTGGTCTCGTCATCTTCACTAACCTACCCGTCCAAACGAGGCCTTGCCCTAATCGCGCTTTCCCCGGATACCCCAACAACCAAGTACTCGGACAAGTCAATCGTTTCTTCCCCACTTTCGGAGGTAAGTGGCAAGCCACTCATTTCACAACCACGTTTTTGCCGAAGTTGACATTTTGCTTGGCCATCTCGCTCACTAGGCTATACCCGGATTTCAGTAAAATTTGTCCAGAAACCGTATAATGGTTTCGAGTCAAGGCTATACATGCCCCCTTGAAAGATCAATCTGTTGGCGGCGACTTCTAAATCGGTGTGCTGTGGGAATCCACCTCAGTAACGCTACCTTAGCTTTGAAGTCATTATACTCGAAATGATGCGGGTGCACTCGTGTAAGACACAAAAGTGGCACAATTGCTGGGATCATCGTCTCGGAAGGCCACCTTTTAAACATGCATATGGCAGTGCTCAAAATAGCCCCCATTGCTCATCAGTAATTGTGCTCACTGTCGTTCTTGTCTTCCAGCAGCTGCCAACAAAGTAGCGTTCCGACCAAACGCAAACGGTGCTGCTGGATTTGCTGCAGCCTCCCCAATAGCGGAATCGGCAGCGGATGATTTCACTGGAGGCGCCATCCAAGGCACCAACTCGGTTAGGACTCTATTCCCTGAAACCTGGCTCTGGCAGATCAGAACGGTTAGGTGAGTCCTATGAAGCTACTTTTTCAGACGACCGATGGGTCCACCACTCTCTTGAATCGTCATGCTTCTTTGCAACTGGCACTGTAGCAGGTACATCGGCAGACTGTCAGCCAAATATGCGTCCAAGTTCTTAAGTTCCCTGACAAGAAAAAGTTCACTTCCATCAAGCTGCAAACGCTGGAACATGCGGCCAGCGCATTTGTCTGTCTAGTGTCTAGCGTTTCTGCTGAAAAGAAATGCCAAATATTTTGGATGTGACCGCCCTCTCCATATCTAAAAGCTCTCGTGGTCATACATAGTCATCCTCCTCGTTGAAAACCAGACAACGTGACACTCGACTGGCTGCGTGGCATGGCATCTCCATCGTAACTGTGCCAATGTATGCACTTCATAAATACTCTTGACTTGTGCACCTTCGCAATGAAGCTTTCTCATAGTGCGGCGACGCTCATGACGAGTAGTTAAAATGTTCCTTTCCTCCAGTGCCTCGGGCTCGCTGGTTTACGAAGAAACCATTCCGGACACAATCACCACATGGCAAGGCACTGCTGTGTGCTTGCATCCGAAGAACGGCTTGGGCATCTCCCAGGTTGCTAATGTCACCGGGTTCCAGCCACTGTTCGCATCACTTACACTGCCGGCCTACATGCAACGAAACGAAGTGGCCACCATAATACTAACGGCTTTCAACTACGGCGACGTGTGCGTTGTGGTGAGTGCAGTGGTAACATGACGCTTACTCTCGCTATGTTTGTTCGGTATAAACTTCTCCGATAATTATGGGTTGTGCTTCCAGTATCAATTTGCAAATGTTCGTCTTACAATTGTAAACCTTATCAATCATTCCTGTAAACAATGGAAAAGAAATTCCCAGTAGAGTTGGCCTATTCATAATTTCGACTCGTGTTTCCATAACGTTCATCCGGTCTAGGGACCATGCATCGCAAAACACCAGTATTGTAACAGCGTCCTCCAATTCTAGGTCCGTGTAAGTCTGACTTTGCTGGAAAACTGGGAGATTGTCAGTGGTCCCAACAGCACCGACGCTCTGCTGTGCCCCAACGCCACGAACTCTGCGTCGTTCCCATTCGACGTGCGTGCGACAACTCTGGAGCTTTCCAGACTTCAAGCGCGCGTCCAGACTAGACCGGAGGCTCAATCCGAATACCCAGATGTGAAGTTGTCCAACGTGAACTCAAGTGACACTGTCATTCAGACAATCGATGTCAGGGTGAGTTAAACCTTTGTTCATCGGCACTTCTCCAGGTAACTGTTTGCTAAAAGTGAAGAGCCTGTTGAAAGTCGCTGAATGCGAATGGCGTCAGCACTGCAAACCTCAGAAATCTCGAATTCAGTTATGGTGTTGCAATTAGTGCATGGCTTTTAAACTGGTACACCGTATGTTAACTGCCAGTGGTGTCTACAAAAATGTGTAATTAAAAATGACGATATTTTGCGTGAAATTGTTCTAGCCCTGCCTTCCTTTGAATCTATCACCTGCATGGCATTTGGCTTTTTTTCGTATTCCAGCCCGAAGGGTTCTCCATCCGAACGATCGACACATACCTGCTTTGTGCGTCAGGTACGGCAATTTGCATATTACGTGCATGTACGCCTTCAGAGTTCCAGCTTTCTGTGACGCGTGCTTACTCTTGCTTTCTCAGGTGACCAGAACACTGCCCCGGACACTGTACAAGTCACCCTGCCGACACCTGAAGCACTTGTTGAAGGTTCTCAGCGGGTTGTGTTGGTTGGCACGGGTAAGTGTTATACCCGCCAATGCTTATTTTGACGGTTCTCGCAGTGTATTTCAATGCATGCATTTTGTTTTGGTCTTGCACACTGGCGAATTCTTCAAAACGTAATTTGTCAATGCAAGCATACTTGTGCCAACCATACAGCAGCGACTTCAAATCAGTGCAAATTATACACGTTAAATAAAGCTTGTCCTTACAACAACTTAATAATGTCATATTCACTTCGCGTGACCCTCCAACTTGTCAGCACTTGCGACACGTACGTTTCGTAAGTGCTGTTAGGATATCAATGAAAGTTCGACGTTGACGGTGATATCTTTTGTAACCAACCTTGCAGTTATTCCACCTGCGAAAAGCAGTTCTCTCTATTTTTAAGAATATATACGCTTTGCACAGGAATGCCCTCTTAAAAGCATCGGTGTGTCGGAGGAAGGGAAACGTGCGTTTCGTTCCCTATCCTACCCAAGAGAAAGATATTCCGAGGTTAAAAGTATAGACCCTGAAAAGTGAACACACGAAACTTAGCTTGTGCTTAACCTCCCATATACTACTCTAGACCTAAATGAGTAGCACACTCCTGAGGTCACACCAGCAGTTGAAATCTTTTCGTTCCTTATTCAGGCGACATCCTGGCACTCAGCCTCAATGATCTGTCGGTTCCCCCTATCACGTACTCCAACGCCGAAGGAACTCTGGCTGTCCTAGCTTCAAGCGTCTATCTCCTCAAGTACCTAGAACAGACTGGCACTTTAACGGACACTGTGAACTCCGGACTAAGATCTCGCATTCAACAAGGTTCGTACCACGATTTCATCTGTTAACTGAACATTTCTCATGTGCAACTATCTTACTGCCCATGAACAGATGTCTGCGGATTTCTGGTAAGCATTACGAATGTAGTCGCAACGTTGAACTGGAAGGGCCCCATAAACAGATTGCGTGAAACAGCCTAGTCGCAAGTACTTCAGTACCTGCTGCAGGTGTCGTGCTTTCGTTAAGAAGAGACGTTGCACTAGGCAACGTTACTTCATCTCGCAAGTTACGACTTTGACATCAGTTACATCGCACGAATTGTACTACTCTCTTCTCGCCCTTGTTTAATGTGTATATAGGCTATAAAGGCTAAGAATTTTCCCCAACCCCCTAGTTTAGGCCAGTGTTAGCCAAAAAGTACTGCACAGCTTTATCATAACACATTTTTAGGTCACCAATCGACGGCAATCACTTCAAATTCGTACAGCGGTCTCCTCTTGCACAGCAACACGCATACACAACTGGGAAAAGCTCTACATGCTAGCAGCAAATGCCCCAATGATTCGCTGTAGTATCCACGGGCCAGGAAAACGTACCTTAATGCATGGTCTTAATCATTATTTTACACTGCGTGCGCTATAAGCAATCTATCACTGGCCTTAAAACAAAGCTTTTTCGTTGTGCGACAACCACAAAGCATGCGCTTATCATGTATTGCACTTTCCCCTTCAGCGTCTCAAGCTCAATACAGCTTCCGCTCCTCCGATGGTTCATACGCATCGTTTGGCTCGAATGAGTACCCAAGGAGTATCTTCCTCACCGCCTTCGCCGTCAAGGCCCTGAGCGCAGCCAAGGAATATCTCGGAGCTAACGCTGCTGCTGAAATCGACGCCAGCGTTCGTTACGTGACGCAACAATGGAACCCCCTCACAGGCTGCTTTGTGGAGAACGAGCCCACGGCATCACCGTATGGACCAAACACTACGGTGAGCCATGTTTCCGTACAACCATTTGCACAGCCCTGGTCAAAACTGCCCAGACCAAGATTCCATAAAAAATGTTTTAGTGGCGTAAAAACTTCGCCCTTTCCCTCTCCCACTCTGCATAATTTGTTTCGCCAGCCCGGAATGGCACAGCAATGAACCCAACGGTACTCTTGTGCTAGTGCTACTGAAAACGCAACCGGGGTCTTGTATTTTTTTGTGAGGCAAACCATAATGTCCCCTCACCCTGTCACATGCTTCATAAATTTTTCAGTTTGTCGGCCGCATGCCGCGGTACACACCCACCGTCTACTCGCTGTGATGCTAGATTGCCGAGTCGAAGGTCATGGGATCGTATTACGGCAGCAGCACCGCATTTTGGAGGTTAAATGCATGACTTGTGTGCTCCGATTTAGGTGCTCGTTAAGGAACTTCTTCACCAAAGTCTTAAGGTACCGCAGTCCTGCACTGCGGCGTCACAATACCTGTACCTGGGTTTTCAGGCGTAAAATACAATTAATGACATGGTTTAAAAGGGAAGGGGGGGGGGGGGGGGCTCGTGCACTTGTTAATTTTTTGCTAATCTATATTCAATGCCCTGCCCTAGTCCACCCATCTACCCCACATCTCTACACGCACGCTCCACCATCGGTTCAGTTAAATCGGGCTTCATCTACAACGCCAATATTTCCTTATGCACGAAATGAAAATCGCTACAAGCCGCACTTCACCTACTTTTATTCCAGCCCGACTTAAACGCAGCTGTCGGTGTCATGCTAGCGGAGAGTGGGCTCTTCAACGACAGCATCACGGAAGGTGTTCTCCGGTGCATAGACGCGAACAACCTTCCATCAAACCACACCACGGCCCTGAACGCTTATTTCTCGGCACTCGTCAACAGACCGGAACGAGCCAACACAGCCCTGCAAACTCTCCTCGGGGAAGCCGACAAATCTAGTGCGTATAAACAAGGCTCCTTATGAATATTTAATTCAATATCGCTGGACATGAAATACATTCGAATTTATCTTCATAATTTCTTACTGCAGCTAAAAAATTGTCCATAAGCATTAACAGTGAGAGTTTTGTGGATGCAGTTCAACTCTCGCATTCAAACGTAAAATATTCTCATGACACCGTCTCTCACAAGTAGTTTAAACTTGTTTCTAGTTTATCTACAGCATCTAAATTACGATCACTGTCATATACATCAAGCGAAAAAAACATTCCCACATGACGTGGTGGCCTTGCAACTTCGCATGGCGTTCTACCCTATCTTCATGCTTCACAGGAAAACAGAACTGTAGCCTCTACATCAAACTTGTTAACACTGTCTAGTTGCCTGTGAAGTACATTTTGCTGAGATACTTGGCACACAAATTCATAATGTGCATCGCTCTCTTCCTGTAGTTTCAGGCGTCTCATATTTTCCCTCATTACGTGTAGGTGGCCTGACATCTTGGACTGGAGACGGTCTAGCGTCCGGCTCTGCCGACACCGCAGGTTACGCAGTGTTGACATCGAAGCTGCTTGGTCGGAATTTGGGAGAGGCCCTGCCTATTGTTCGCTGGCTTATGCAGCAGACCTACGCCCGATACACGTTCTCTTATTCCGAGGTACGGGCTCGTATGGCTATGCATTTTCGTACACTACCAATCGAATACGCTTCAGATAGTCTGTTGTGCACAACTTGCTGAATGGTCCTTCGAATGCATAACTTATTTGCTCGCAGCGTTGAGCTCTACTTTGTGTTTTATAAAGCTTTACAAACTGCAATTCGCTCTGTATGAAAGCCGCACTGCAATGACACAGTCGTGAACTTCTTTCACTGTACCGCTGCTCTGTCTTGCTTTCTGACAACTTGCAGGTTTACACCGTCGCCATTCAAGCACTTACTCAGTATTCAAGCGTGGCATTCTCGAAGAACACCGACTTGTCCCTCACCGTTGCCGTTGAAAGTGCATCGCCCGACAATCTATCCTTCCAGATCAATGAACAGAACAAATTGCTCTACCAGGTATAGGCATTCATAGCAAATGCACAAAAACCATTGACTCATTCTCTTGAAGGTCACAACACGAATATGGTTTCACACCTGACATCTCTCTAGACAAAGTTTAATGTTTTTCAGGAGCGCCTCTTGGACAAAAGCGACTCGTACAGCTTGCAAGCGTCTCTTACTCCAAACAGCGTCGGCTGTGCAGCATTACAGGTTTGTACAACTTCGTTGCGCAATCCTCACAATTTAGATGCACTTCCAAATTTACACTGTACATTTATTGCATTGCGTATGCCATAAGTCACGCCATAGTCTTTTTTATATGCATACATGCAGAAGACCTCCATTTTGTTTAGATTCTTGGTCGCTATGTCTTCTAAGCGCCTTCAGCTACTATCCTTCCCCAGTAATCACCAGGCGCCTTGTGCGTGGAATATTTAGTATGAGCCAGGTCTACAAAGGTGTATTGCTGCCCTTTAGGTTCGAGCCTTATCTGCTTGTGGCCACACTATCCCTTGTTTTTACCCAACTTCACGAGTTCTTTTCCAAAAACTTTACATTCCTTATGGTCTTCCAGGTCAAGTACTACTACAACTCCAGGAACAGTCCACTTCAGAGGGGCATCCAAGTCAACGCTTCTGCGACATCGGGACCAGACTGCAGCACGCTTCAGTTGGACATTTGCACACGGTGGGTTTGTATTTCAATAGCCTTACTGGCATATTTGTGGCTGTACAATAGTTTTCTTTGTCCCACCTCGCCATGTGTTGCTGGTATTTAACACTTACGAAGTCTGTCCTATCGTCTTGGCACTTTTAGCTTTTCTATACGCGTTTTTAACTGTAGTCTCGTCATGCGTCACTACTTGCAAGCGCTATTGATGGCCGGCTCGTTTTCGGAACTTTTCAGTGCGTCCACTCCTGAACTTTCTACCCAGTTCACTGTTTCGTTGCAGTTATCTTTTCTTGGGTGCATTTAGGACCCACCTAAATGTAACCCTGACAGCACTGGGTATAGCTTTCAGAGTACAACTGCACGGTCGAAGTTGGCCTTGATGGAGAGAACACTTTGCTTTTCTTATTTTTCCAGGTACACCGAGGGTTTTCTGCGCAGTTCTGCAATCGTGGAAGTAACCATGCTTTCTGGTTATTCTGCCGATGACCAGTCTCTGAAAAACGTAAGTCGAAATGAAAAAGGCCTAATTCAGTACGCAGCACGTAAATCTACACCCAAAGATGCAATGTTTTCGGGCTTCCTGCGCTAACAATCGCATTTATTTTTCTTTGCAGTTGGTCAGCAGCGGCGTTATTAAGCGCTATGTCGTGAACGGCAACAAAGTCCAGCTCGTACTACAAACGGTAATTTTTCTGTCACAATGTACGCCCCTCCCCGTTACTCAATGCTTCACATATTTCGCAGTTACTGCACACCTGTTCCGGCTCGCTCATCCCAGAAATACTCTCCCACCAACCCCTCCCTGCTCTTTCAGTTATACATAAATACCGTCTTTTACAGCTAACCATACAGCCTACCTGCTTCAGCTTCACGGAAAACAGATACCTGCAAGTGACCAACCTTCAGAGTTCTGTTGTGGAGGTGTACGACTACTACCAGTATCGTAAGTCCATAAAGTCGTGCTTTTTTATTCATTGTTGCCCAGTTTACGTATTCGGCCTCGGCAGTCAACACTACGATCCGACTTAGACTTCGCTCAATGTGTGTATTCATAGTGTTCTTGGTATTTCTGGACGTGCGTTAATTCCACTGTACGGCAGGATTTCGTCTCGTAGCAACTCCTGTCTTTCAAGTCGTACATATTCCCCTGTGCATTCGTTGCTATATCAAACAACTTGTGAAGCCTTTCTCGTGTCGCCAACATATTTCTTGCTTCTTTTTTTTTTTGTTCCCTATGACTCTGGGAAAACTTCGTATGCACATCATAAAGAGCGCAACAAATCCCTTGTGTGACTGCTTAGCATACATCTAAAAATACTAAACCTTCCCAGCATTTTGATTGTATTTTTGTCTTAAATACCCAAATATGACGCTCTTCATGCATATTCTTAACGCAGAGTACAAGGCGACGGCTGGGTACGGATTGGAGGGCAACTGTACTCCTGCTGAAGTCGCTCCACCTACAAGTCTCAACGAAGTGGACAGTGTTATATACGTTTAACGCGCTATTCGCTTCTGTCTTCATACGTCAGCATTTTTCTACATCTAGACAAACGATCTCAAGCGCCTTCGAGTCATCGGTCTTGTGATACTTTGTTTTTATCGAACTCTCCTGTCATACGCAATAAAGCATGTACTCTTTTACATTACGACTATTTCACTTCTTTACCCTCTTGCGTCCTGCAAGAATTTATTTCGGGTGCCCTTCCTATACGCACGAAACTTTATGCTTCTTTACTTTTCCAGGCGATCATCGGTGCGTTGGCTTTTAACAGCACTGAATCAGTTGAACTTCAGTTAATATAAGCTTCTCGGTTGCTCTCTTCATGTTGCCAGGGAAATGAGTGGCGTCGTGGTTAAGCAGGCATTATAGCTGTCACTTCCCACTTTTATCCGGCAGACTACAAATGCACTTGCAGAGAAATATTACACACGTAACTATTCAAATTCTTTGTTTCAAAGTCGTGAGAAAATTGTTGAGCACGAGATGTCGCTGGCATATACTATTGCTAGTGCATATTGCCGCGCTCAAACCGGAGAACGAAGACAATGTGCGCGCCAACAGTCCCATGAAAAGGGACACTGAAGAAGACGACGTGCTTTTGTTTAGGTCTCTTGGTCTTGGCTCCTGCATAAACACACACGTCGTCGGTTCTCGGACACAACGTCTCGGTGATGTGCGACCATGTAATCCTAGTGCTCAAACAGCATATTCCTAGTGCGCAAACTACTTTCCATATTGCTATTTGTGTGCGTCTAGCTCGCTAAACAAGGGGAAGCTTGGGCGAAGATGTGGGGTGCCTACTAAGAACAGATACTAACTCGGACTTGCGGGCTCGGATCAAACTTAAACCTATAGCGTTTTGCGACGGTACATATTCAGCGATACTAGTTACCCGTAAGCACGCTCATTTCTGCGTGCCCGACAGTGCATTATCTGTCGGGTTGAACAGGCAACCATCGTAGATGCAGGGCAAACAGGCACGTTTTCAAAAGTCTCTTTTAAATGTGAGCCGGTGTTCACTCGAACTAACTCGCGGCAGCTGCCTAAACCTGGACAATGCCTAATAGACTTCACGTTTGCATCACTGATAGAAAGGGAATGCAAATCATCGGATGGCTGCCGCATAATCGGGGATTTGTAGAAGAAAGATCTATTGCTATTGTTCGGTTTTCTTTTTTTTTACTGGTACCATATTGTGAATAGTCGATCACGTGCTGTGACTGGTTTCATTCGACTAGTATACCCCTGTTTATATATATATGAGAGCTTCATTTGCTTTAAAATGTTTGTCATTCACCTATCAGGTAACATAGATGCGCTCAATATTCTCTTGAAGGACGACTTGCTGTCGTACTGACTCATATTTAAAAAAAAGGCGCACACATTTTTTTTATTTTATATAAAAATAAGCATCAGTCAAAAACAAAGTGATATCTTACACGTCCAAACAAGGGTACGATCAGGCGGCATGCCGTAGAGAGATAGGAGGGGAAGAGGTGCTCTGGTCAGGCTTATTGCTAGATCAGTGTCCTCAACGTGAAAGGGTGCAATGGCAAATGATTTCAATTAGACAAGTGGTTGTTTTTTTACCTACTTTTACCAGGTCGTAGATTGGGACACAATCACAGTATCAAGTTGCCTCTGTTCAATCTTTCCATCCCGACTTAGCGCAGAAAACAAAATGAACAAAGTGTTTATTTTGTTGTATATTTATTCGCTTTTTATCGATTATATTGTATCCTTTTTAGAGCAGTCCATATTCGGCACTTTTTTGAAATCATCTTTCTTTAGGCCTTCCTTGTCCAGGGCAGCTTGAATCGCAGAAAGGAACTGATCTTCGGCGTTTGGTTTCCGAGTCACAACATGGTATGCAGCTGAAACAGGAGCGTGGACACAGTTATACGATAAATATTTTCATTTCTTTCGAAGAAATGAAAAATAGCTCAAAGTCATTTCAAAATCATAGAGTGATGCGTCGTACCCGCTGTCCCACTCTTGGCCCAGACAACGGCCCAGTTGTCGTAGTCCGTGTCGATAATGGCAGTCTCCATAATAACGTCATCTAATGGAATGGCCAAGCAAAGTGAGTTCTTTATTTTCTTTTGTGGGATGACAAATTGACTTAGTGAAGCTCCTGTATTTACCACTGATCTTCAGCATGAACCTTGAGGGGTGCCGTTGATCTTCATTCACATCGACGCTCATTTCTACGAGCTCGTTGCTGAGCTCAGAAGAACAAATCAATTTCATTACAATGGTAAAAGTGCTTGCTTTTTTGTCTCACTTTTATACGCTTATGCATAAAGTAATCAGTCATGTCCACACTTCCAGAAAGCGTTGCGCACCATTCGTGAAAGGCAGTTTTCTTGTCACAAGGCAATTGATAATTTTTGACTATTCATCCTTCTCTTTCTTAATCCTCTTCTTTTCTATCTCTTTCCTTTCTACTACTCTTCCTTTCCCCCACCCCAAGTGTAGGGTAGCCAACCGAGTCAAGCTTGGTTAACCTCCCTACCTTTCCTCTCTATTTATATCTCTCTCTCTTTCTCTTTAGCAATTCCGCTACCCGACCCTGTGAATTAACTGCATGTGAACTCGACGCCTGAACTGCGTCGCAAACCTTGATTGCGTTGCACGGGCAGGATTTTAACGAATTATTCTTTTTTTTCTGCATCGTCTGCTTTACTTCGCTGGGTAAAGCTAAGGCGTTTCATTCATGCATATAGGTAACTATAGTATTATTAAACTTTGTTGAAGGCACTGCTGCATTCTAACAAATATAGCACTTCCATTATAGACAGAGTAACCTCACTCAGTGTCGATGTATTCCGCCTTGATTCTGTAGACGTTGTCGTGGTCTCTTTGTATCGTGAAATGAGCACAGCGATCTGTGTCTCCGTAGATAGCTTGGCTGAAGCTATCCACCCACCACTTGCCTTTGAACTGTAAGTGCAAGTTGTGAAATTGAGAAACTGTAGGTTCTCAAGACCGTTGCAGTGGCGAAAATGTGTGCTTTAAGATAAGTATTCGCTTTTCAGCTATTGTTCCAGGTCAAAATATATCAAGCTACAGGGCTGAAGTCAGGCCAGTGATTTTAAACTTCTATGATTCACGTACTAAATGAAAAAATAAATCCCTTATTGTGCGTTGTTGCATCTTTCCAGACAAGACATACTTTATATCTCCTGATTTACGATACAGGCAAAAGAAGAGTTAACGGGCTAAAGCTACCTACACCGCTGCCAATCGATTCTTATTGAGCTTAGCTTGTACTTGTCTGAAATAGCAAGCCACCGTGGTGGCTTGGTGATTGAGTGGATTTCAAGAGCTAAAACCATGAAGTGACTACGGTGCACGCCGAGGTGTGAGACGCCGGACTAAATTTCGACCAACTCGTGTTTATTAGCATGCACCACATGCCATCTCCCACCTAATTCTAAATGCCGCCGCCATGGCCGGGAAGTCGAACCTGAATCATCAAGCTTGGCAATGTGGCGCAGTGGTAGCGTAACGGCTAAGATGACCGTCTCAATTAAGGGCGACGGCTCGATTCTACGTCAAGTCAAACCCAAGTACATTCATTTACATAAATTCTCCACCTTGAGGAACCTCAGGTGGTAAAAACTGGTCTAGAGTCTCATTACCACGGCATGTTCGTAGTACTATCTTAGATGGGACCTGTGCATCTCCAGAATAAATTATTTAATCACGTTATTCTTGCACGCATATAGAAAGACTTACCTTGAAAGGGTTGAAATCATCCTTCAATGTCTTCGGGTTCGCGCACACACCATTTCTATCGACCAGAGAGACGATGATAAGTACGACACATGCCGAAGTCCGCATATCTGTTTCGGTGTTGAGCCTGCAGTTGCTACCACTGAGCGCACGTGCGTGGATGGGGCTTTTAAACGACGTCCACGAGCCGTCCCTGTGTCTCGCGGTCACCGCCAGCAGCTGTCCATATTTTGCCAGCGCTCGGCAGCCACAGAAAGTCAATGTTTGCACTGTCGAGTCGTATGCAATGGAAACTTGTACCACGCTAATTGCTAAAATTTGGCCTTGGAAAATACGCTGAACCGAATTTCCTGATGCTGAGTGGTGCGTCGGCAAGCATTTTACTTATCTATATGTGGATACCGTTGAAGCCTATCACTCTTTTTCTAGGTAAGCACTGCTGTGGCAAATCAAGGTGTACTTAATGTTCAGGGATGGAGTTCAAAGTTCTTCAAAAGTAGAGAGAAAGTGATAACGTTTCATTCTAAAACAAAGTAAAGTGCCTTTCTCGTTTTCAGTCATTATAGTTTTGGGCCCCATTGGCACGCGACACTACGTGCAAGGTGTTTTAAGTTTGCGTACTACATTGGATGGCGTGCTCCTCTTAACTAACGTCGTAGTATTGGGAGAATATCTAAGAGAACGTTCGAAAATTCCCAGGGGCATTGGTATACAATAAGAGCTTTGGCATAAAACAACTGCTCTGTTGAATCTACCGCGGGAAAACGGTGGCGCGAGACACCGTGCTGAGCACAAGGCGCACTAAGAAGCAAGTGCAGGGGAAGGGTTGCGTGTGAAAACGTAATAAATACAAGAACGAAGTGTTGAACCAGGGCAACGCGTGTGTGTGTCTCTTCTCTACCTCAACAGCGTACTGCGAACTGCCTTTTCACACAGGAAGATGCGTTTCCGCAAACATATCATTAACTCCTCTCAACTAAATAAACAAAAATACAGCTGCTGAAGATAGCTACCTCGGCACATGTCCTTGAATGGCACGGTGTTCCTTCCTGTGTCATCACTGGGTGAAGTAAATCACGGAGTAACAAAATTTCATGGATATAAAACGGGAAAAATATGCGAGGTTTCATTTCTTAATATTTATCACACAGTTTAGCATGCATTACCTCTCATAAAAACTACCCTCAGATTTGCGATGTAGACGTTAAATATTCGCTGATTCAGTAAGCAACGTTAACCTTTTTTTTTTCATTTTACGTTTATTACTGGTGAATGCTTACACATTAACGCGGTGCATACATCAAATGTTCAATATGCTATAGATAATAACGCAAACATAGCTGGCGTAACAACCTTGGATACGACTCTTTGCAGATGAAAGATAGACGGAGGACTGGGAGGTTGATCGACGAGGAAATGGAGAACTGGTTGACGGCACCTTAGCCCTCTAACATCTTTCAAGAGCTTTTCACCTGTAAAGGTAGCGCCGGTGTGTATTAATGAATGAATGAATGAATGAATGAATGAATGAATGAATGAATGAATGAATGAATGAATGAGGCGGGGGAAGAGGAGATTCACACCAGTCTCGTCCCAATCTCCATCGATGAAAATGGTGGTGCCTATATAGGTTGATAGCTCGGAGTCCTAAAGGGCGGCATCTTTCGGCTTGCCGGAATGCCCAAAGCTGGTAGGCCACGTTAGAGCGGCAGCGACGCCTGAAGAGCCGATTTGTAGCAGCAAACGCAGCCGTGAGGGCGGCCAGCCCCGGCCCGAGCGCGGTATACCAGCATGAGATTTAGTGACAGCGACGACGATTACCCTCGCGGTATGTCTCTGCCTAACGTGCGTCGTGAAGTGAGCGGTGGTAGTGATATTAGAGAGTTTTAGTACTGCGTACGCTGCGTACGTGGCGGCGTTGCGTACGTAAGGACGCCACGTTCTGCGTAGTGCGCATGCGCAGACCGCAACGCGCCCGTATCGCGTTACGTACGCAGCCGCTACGTACGCACGCATGAGATGCGTGCGTGCGTACGTATGAGGTGATCGCGCCAGCTCTCGAACAAATTCGCGACAGCGCGACACTTCGTTTTGCAAAATGGCGGCATCGAAGGCAAGCACCGACCGGCTCTGTGGCTTAAAATATGGCCATAATCTGGCTATAACACTTGGATTGGCTCACATTGGCTGTCAACAACACGTACTTCTATTTTGATCTACCAGATGGCGCAACACGCTTCACGCTCGTTACGTACGCGGGTACTACGTACGGCGTACTAAAAGCCGATTAGTGGCAAAACGACGCCACGTAACGCAAGGCGCTTGCGTGATGAGTACGTAGCACCATTCCGCAGCACTAACACTCTCTATTAACATTCACGGCACATTCCCAAAGCATGTGTCAGAGTGTAGCTCCTTCCCCGCTCGCGTTACTCAGGCTCGTCGAGTCAAGGCACGGGTAACAGGGGTGTAGGATCATCACCGGTTTGCAGTAAAAGATTATTTTATTGCCTCGATAATCTTACAAACACTACTTCATATCTTACAAAATATACCATTTGCGTACCACATTTTGATTATGATAACTGCAAGTTACTATGTTATGACTGGTACAAGTATTTGGATGAGCTCCACTGCAGAAATATGTCGAGACTAATTGAGCTCTGATGTCACTAAAACGGCATTTTAGTGTTATTCCACACGTTCAAGATACGTTTATCAGGAAATGACAATTCTTTTTTTTTTCATCGTTACTGCATTTCAATGTCTCCTGTTTCTGTTGCTGGGCCTGTGGGTACGTACTTGAAGAAACGGAAAAACCAGCTTAGGGACGCGTACACAAGAGGAGAGGCATGACACACATACGCTGGCGTGTGCGTGTCGTCTTCTCCTCTTGTGTGCACGTCCCTAAGCTGGTTTCTCCGTTTCTTCAAATGTCTTGTTTACTGAAAGGAAGTGATATTCTGGAAGGGAAGACGATATGTTTGTATTCTATAAGACTTTCTGTTGAGCGAGTTGGCGTTGCCTCTCAGAAGACATTTTTAACGCAAGAATGAAAATTGCTTGAAGTTTAGCGTTCTTGCTGTGCACTTTCTTCCCCTTCTGTTTTTCAGACGATTCTTTTTTTTTTGCGTCACCCATTGACATATAAGAGAGTTTGATGATTGAAACCACGTTATGAGCTCACAACTCGCGTTAACATAACCGCACAAGTCTTCAGCATATTCAAGTTACTATATCTGCTCAGGTCCTGGGAAAAGGCATGGACTCGACAGCCTTTTCCAGGGCCTTCTTGTAATCGGTGTAGAGCAAGTCATACAAAATGTTTCGTAGGCCCCGTTCAATCTCGGTGTTGAAGCCGCGCTGCCGCTCGGAGTTCAGACTCAGGCGTCGGTCGTAGACCGTGTGGAACCGTATCTGTTCTATGTGAAAAGTGCGCAGCGTGCCCGGATGGCCCGGATACGCTGTGGCCTCGAAGTTGGCCACGGTGTCTACAACTGTCACGTTGACGGGCACAGTTTTTTCCTTGCGCGCAAATGTCTCTCCCTTGACCTGCAAAAGGAAGACAAGCTTATCGAACGTTTCTTGAAAAACTCCGCTATACTCAGAAAATAAAGCAGTTGTGCGTAAGTTTGAAGCACATTAAAATATTGTTACGTGGAAAATAACAGTTGTCGGTCCGCAGCCACAACGCAGCTCACTGAGAACGTCCACTTCTTTTCTCTCAGTCTGAGGCACCTCCTTGGGTATGCCCCACTATGATCTCTTTCAGTCAGACGAAATCACGTAACACGACCCCCGGCGGCGAAAGCGCCGACCCGGCGAGTTTACGGGGCCACAGCAGGAGCAGTGTGGTAACGCTTGAGCCTTGATACGTGGACGATGTCCCTTGACAGCAGAGCGGAAGAGGTTGATGGATTATCAGGGACATGTTTCAAGCACGGTAAAAAGGACGACCACTTGATGACCGGCTACGGTAAGTTGAGCTGTGCACATACCGACGACAGGGACTTTTGCACCATCTGCAACTTGGACGACACTGGTCAAGGGGGGCGTGAGGACCTTCTTCATGCGACGACGAAAACGCGAACTCATAATACAGACGTGAGCGCCCGTATCTATCAAAGCTTCAACAGGTGTACCATCAACATATACTTCTAGGGTGTTCCGGTTCAAACGTAAGGGCAACAGAGGATTTTTGGGTAAGGTCGACAGGGCAGCTTCACCTCCTTGGGTATGCCCCACTATGCTCTCTTTCAGTCAGACGAAATCACGTAACAATATTTTACAAATTCATTGTTCATTGTTGATTTAGAGTACGATATAGAGTTCGGTGCTATTTATTAAGTTGATATTTATCACGTGTCCTGCTTTAGAAGTATTGTTTTATCTTTGATATGTGACTATATGCTTAGCCAATATGCCCGCGACACTTGGCAAAGGTTACATGTGTTAAGTAGCTCCAAGGGTGTTGAATGTGTGGTTTAATTTCGAGTAAGCTCCGTCGATGTGTGACTTATAAGTTGTTAACGTTTTGGGCTGTCTCGACTTCTCCCCTGTGTCCGCGTTTTGCGTCTGCCGTCTTTTTAACATGAATACCTACCAATTAGCACAATTCGTCAAAGATTTTCTGAGCAGCAACTGTAGCCCTTCCTGTCGAACCAAACATATGATGTCAATATATGATACTCTTATATATGATACTTTTATGGCTGTTTCACATCCGAGTGACTGAGCGGCGATGGTCGCTGCAATGAGGGGCAGCAGGACGCACGGACGCGGGTTTTTGTGTGTTACCCATGCTACCTAGAAAAAGCGAGTTCCTCCTGGCGAGCGCACCCGTTTCTCAACACCGCCCCTGCCGTAAAGTGCTCCCCACTTCGCTGCTCCCCGTTGGCTGACTTTGGGCAGACACTCATCCACGTGTTAATTTTAACTCGGAACTGGTTTATGCTGGGGTCCACCGCGGCTCTATGACGTATGAATATGAAGTTTTAAAAAATATTTACTAACAAATTTTATTAAAATGAAGACGAGAATAAAAAGATTCGCCGCAGGGTGACGAGCTAGCGACCTCGCACTCCTCAGCGCACCACGCTAACCACTTAGCCACATAACGACCCCTCTTTACCATGTTAACGGCAAGCCATTTATATACACCATGTACCACTGGCGGTCCTCAGAACTCGGAAACTTCAACGTGTTTTCGTCATCAGTAGCCAGATGACATGACGGGCACGCGTTAGGCGCGCATGCTCTGAAGATCGTCGTGCGGTGACACCCCGCGCGTAGCTGTGCGCACGCGCCTCCACATGGCGCGGACAAGATGCATGTACTTGTTCTCTGGTGTGGTCACTCACTTGCGCGAGCGCTTATCTCAGGATTCGGGCGCTTTGTACCTCTTGTGCTTCCACCACAAGTTTGCTTTGAAGTTACAGTAATTAAAGAGAGCACGAACGTCCCATCGCTCACTGCCACGGCTGCGTTTACGAAAGGAGCGCTGTGCTCACAAACGAAGTAAAAATTGTGATCCTTGTTGACACTCATCTTGTGCACACCGGTGCATACATTTCGTGCACCTTTCTTTCTGTTTGAGCAGCATGCTTCAAGTGTCGAGCTGCTTGTCCTTCTTCGCGTGACATTTCAATTTGTTACTGTAGCTTTCATGCCTTCGCCCTTGTAGCGAAACAGTGCACGACGAATGCTCAACTACCTCTACGATGACACGTTTCATTTTCGATTCATACCGATTCCTAGAAAAGAAGGATCAACTATACGTTTTTTTTTTCTTTTTTCCAACTCTGGCGATGTTGATTGCACCGACTAGTAGGCACCCGAAAAACTGGTTTCAACCTCGTGCGACGGCTGCCGTTCAGCTCTTGGGGCGAAATCGCTCGCGTGTGAATGCACGTGAATATCGTCTAAAATCGAGGGCTTCACCGTGATTATGACGTAAAAGCCGGAAGGAAGAACCTATATTTAGTTGTATGCCCAAGAAGTGGGGGGGGGGGAGAAACTTGATTGCGAAAAAAAAAGCCAGAGAAAAATAAGGTGAGTTAATATAAACCATGAGCACTATATGCAACACGTAGCGTGCCTTCAGTCAGCAGCTTATTTCTGTGGCACTTCACAAAGCTATTTCGTAGTAAAATCAACAGTGATTCCTTACCTCAGTTATTAAAGAGGCATTGATTCCTTTGAGTTCCAGCAAGCAGGAAACGGTGACGTTGCCCTTGATGAGAACCGGTGGGTGACACTCTCCGATTCGGCGAACACCGGTGTCGAAGCCGTTCAAAGCTCCGTACTTCACCTTTACCTTGAGTTCTCTGTTCGTGATTCCAGTGCTTTTTATCTGGTCAAGAAAAGTGCACCAGGAGAGAAAATTAGGGCAGCATGACCAGGATTTGGGGACATCAACGCGTAGTGCCATCTCTCGTCCGCCAAAGCGGCAGCTTGCTGTAAGTGAATGGTGAATAATTTAAGAAAATCATATCTGGTGAAATAAGCTAGTCATCAATATCGGCGCCCCGTTCTAAACAGCATAGGCTTATTTGAACAGTCTCACAATGTTTCAGTGTTGCACTGCCAACCGCATGGCTTCCCGAAGTGTTCGATATTGAGTGATGTATTCTTATGCGTTTATATGGGCGGTGTTCAATTATCCTGGGAAGTCACGCTCTATTGTGTGATACTTCAATTTCACCAAAGTATACCACTGGGTCTCTGCTTTGTATAACACGGAGTCGTTTTTGATACCTAGCTTTTTTCAAGAGATATGATTTTGCTCACCGATTTTCCATTCAGTAATGGCAGGCTGGTGCTGCCGCCACCGAGAGATGGCGGCATGTTCAGATGTCCCTAATTCCTGGGAATGTTATATGTTCATGTATTTCTGGTTTGCTCGCGCAAAGCGTTTAATTTCACTCGCATTCTCACTTGCATCGATACTTCTGGCCTCAACACATTGATCATGATATTCCTTTTCGGTGATGTCATCGTCTACTAACCTTGAACTTGAATTCGGGGACTTTAACGAAAGGGTAGACATTCTTCAGGTCTCTGATTTGTCGTGGGAGCTTGTCTTCCAGAATGATGTCAAGAAACCTGTTGGAATCACCTACTGTCGATGTGTGAACTGCGGCTGCGTGAAAAGTAAGGAAAAAAATGTCTCGGCAAAGGACTATTGTCGGCACAGATTATACGCGTTTCCATTTATCCTCACACTAAACAATATCTGCTGTGCTCGCTCAAACGTAAGTATGGGTGTAGGGTAAGTGTATCAGAAACCAAATTGCCAAAAAATATGCTCAATGCATACTTATTTGAGGCACAATATTAATCGCGCTTACAACATTGAGAATGATGTGACCAAATAAATTATGGGCAAAAGGCGACCTTCTGCTTTCATAAGCAACAAGGCTGGACACTTACCAAAGATTACCAGCGATGCAAGGCAAAGTAGCAGTCGGGCCATAATGGATGTAGGTAATCTGTGAATGACAGTCGTATGACCATAAACGAAATTAGTACAAGTGGCATACTGGGTAATTTTTTTCTACAAACGTGTGAGCTGACTTAATCATGTTCACTGCACTGCATTACGGAGAGACCCATGAAAGTTCATGAGTAAATAGAATATACATGCACAGGCTCACGTTGGGGGACCTCGAAAGCGCTTATAGCTTGCGATTCCGAAACACTGATATCATATAGTCGCAGTATGTTACTTCAACTGACCTTTCTCTTTTTTACTACGGTGTTTTCAGTATATAGTGCTGTTTATATCATAGATCACTTTGTTATTGCTAGTGGTTTGATGAGCGTGTCAGCAGGCCTCATGCGAAGATCTGCGCCAAACATTCCCACTTTCCACATAATATCTGCTGTCCATGCGATGGTGCAGAATGTATCAACAATGCAAGTTATTCAAAAGGTAGTTTTAAGGTTATTAATACTATTAGCATTTCCGAAGCTCAAGCGCGTTCTTCAATAAAATGCGCATGGTTTGATTCGGGTACTTACCTTTCGAGCTGTATCATTCAGCGCCTTCCACTCGACTGAACGTAGTCGCACCAATGCAGCACTGGTCTAGCCTTCCCTCCGTACGTCTACTGTGTTCGCTTCACCGATGCTCGGCAAATTCCGCTCTCCGGTTGCAGATCTACCCGACACGTCACAAGACTCGTGCACGTACGCAGCGCGAGACCCTTTGAAACCACCATCGGTGTACAAGTCGGCAAAACGAACGCACAAAAGAAATTCCTCACCCGTATCCTGTGATTCAGATTGGAGGAATTACGTTCCTTCATCCGAAGCGATGTCTCTCGTTTCAAACTAAGGGTTTCGCGGCGAAAGTTTTTTGAAAGTGAGTAACAGTGAAAATGGCATTTCGATTCAATGTGAAAAGTAGAGCACTTTTCTAACACATCTTGTAGTCTTTATAATGTGAGAAGACATTGTTTGCGTCTCAAGACCAGAGCCGTGTTTAGGTTCTATGACGCAAAAAAGCTTCAGGCTGTGACTGTTGTCAAGGTCCTCACGTTTGTCTGACTGCATCTTTGTTGTTCGCGACTCCTTCAGTCAAAAATGAAATAACATCACTGGAATCCGCATGCTTTGGCGCTTCTGAGTGTTGCTTATTTCTTGACATCTTCAGTGAGATTTGTCCACCATTGCAAATGAGTGAAATGTTAACTTGCGAAACAATCAGTAAACTACACCTGCTAATTGCGAAACAGTGCTTAATGCAGTCCGTATCGTTCTCTGGTGGGTGCAACAAACAACAGAGTTGTAGTATGGACGTGTGTTAAAAGCTTTATTGATTCAATTATTGCAACTTATAAAAAGCATGATTGTGAAGTGATCTTATAGCATAAACAATAGGTTTGGCACGCAAAATCGTTTTTCTTAATATGAATAATAATTTAAAGAAAAAAAAAGAAATGCTCTTCTCGGCTCTTCTGTTTGAGTGCATTCATCTTTGCAGCACTTGTGCCATGGTGGTGCCATTTCGATACCTTGTCGCGCTGGCTGCGGACTTTGTCGCTATTATGGCCGCACATTGACTAATATCATGTACTGTGGCAATCACAGACATCGCCGACTCAGGGATTGGGAAATCGCAGCCCATCTAGTGCACGGTTGAGAAGGTGCATGTACTCGTTGTAAAGAGCATCGTACAGCACAGCCGTCACTTTCTCTTCGATCTGGCGAAGGAATTCCGTTTTGCGTGCGTCGTTGAGGTGCAGGTTGTCGCCGTAAGTAGTGCGCAGCCTGATCTTGTCGATGTGGAAAGTTCGCACGACGCCTGCCCGTCCGGTAGCTGACGTGGCTTCGAAGCGTCCCGTGGTATCGACGACGGTCACGTTGACCGGAACGCGTTTTTCGGTGCCCAGGAGGTTGTCGCCCTCAGTCTGCAAACACATCAAAACGAAAACGTTCAATGGATGTCTTATTGTTAAGCCTGTGGCTCTCCCTAGGCTCGGGATGCATGTTCAATAAATATGGTAAATCAAAAGTGCTTAGTCACTCATCTTCCGAGTTTTTGTTTCAGTAGCTGGAAGGTGTAGTGTTGTCTAACACGTCCGATTATAGGTTATATACTCAGAACTGTGAGGCAATATGGCAAGCAAATTCGCGTCATTATGGCTGGCCCTCCGGGCAGAATCAACTTAGAAGGCCAGCAGTAGGAAGCACTCAGCCTAATGCTGAGTTTTTGGAGCTTTTGTGTGTCAATATTGTTTGCCAAGGATCTGCCCTCGACGCTGAATAGAAATCTAGAGTCACTTTCATAGCGTGAATACAGCTTGTTGTGGAAGGCTGAAGATAAATCCCGGCTTTCTAAATCTCAGAATACAAGTGTTGTTTACATAATCGTTTATATCCTAACGAAGCCCCCGAAGCTAGAAGCGGGATCACGACGCAGCGTCTACAACGAAAAGCAAACTGTAGAAACTTATTCTAGAAGGTAAATCAATTTATATTTCAAAACTGCATTGACAAGTATCTTTTCAAGCTACAACGCTGCTTGTAAGATTTAATGCACAAGTAAATTACGAATATTCTTGAAGAACTGCATAACCTACCCCGATATTACACTAAATGTTTCTCCCACCGTAAATTAGGTGGTTTTGCGCAGGAATGCAAACTGTAGGCAATGCGCCATTCCAATAGGTTAGGTACTCTATCGTGGCACAATTATTTTGTTAGATTTCTACTGCAGTTCTTGTGCGGAAGCTACACCCACGAAAGCCTTCAATGCATGTTTCCCAGTTTCGATATAGTCAGATACAAGTTTAGCAGCCTGTGTAGTATCCTCCTCAAAGGGAGATGTGCTGAAGCCTACATCAACGGGCGCACGCTGCAGACGGACGTCATGGGTCGGACAGCTTTGTGCATCAGCGAGACTATTTCTTTCGTTGCGAAGGTGAAACGGTTTTCTGTGGTTCGATCATATTTGTGGTGCCTCTCCAGACATCTGAGGGTTATGCGATTATAACAGAGTGTGCACGGAATATTCCAGCGTGAACGTTGAGTAGAGCTTTGCATCCAGGTTATAATATTTTTTATAATCAACGCGTGTTTGAATGCGTGATATAAATGGGCCCACATAATGTGACTTCTAGCGACATCCGCAATGAATTTCTTAGCTTGTACAGAAACTAAAGAAACATTCATGTTTATGAACGCTTCACTTAAGATCGGTTAGCTTGAACTGTAAATTCACGGGAATAATGAGAAAGAAAAAAAAACCAAAAAACTGGCCGCCCATCTCCGTGCGTCTCTGCAAAGGACGTCGAAAAACGATAATCTTCTCTGTCTGGAGGCGCTGCTTGAGTTATGGCGCCATCTGGCAGTAATGTGAAGAAACAAAAGTTCCTTTAGAACGCAGAGCTCCTGGTAGGTGGCTGTGCAGAGTCGTTTTAGTTAAAGCTGCAGAAGTTTTCAGTGAAGCGTAAGAAGCGCCCACTTTTCGTTCATAGCGTCGCATTGTCAGCACAGCTTAATGAACATTTCAGTTTTTAGAATTACGTATCTGTGCATTTTCTATATAAAAAGACGCACTGCCTAACACGTTGATGTTGCGCCTCAAGTAAGCGTACTATTTTTTTTAGTTGATAATGTTCACAAGTATGATATTAGGTCAATATTGGTGGGCTTTGAGCACAGGCTTAAATTTTCATTGAGTGCCTGAATGGCTGGACAGTCATAAACAGACAGACAGACCGAAATCTGCGTTGAAGTATCCTAAGAAAGACTATTGTTTTTAAAGAAACCAGGCCTGACTTGAAACACGCCACACAGTCACTGAGAAGGCTAAAATGTTCCACTGTAAATTCCATTCAAGCGACAAATACAAGAACACTTGCAAAGTAATCACTACGCAATGAATCATCATATTTTTAAAGTTAGTTGGTATCTATTAAGCCTACATTCATCGTTCTGAGTAGAAGCGATGTACCCGCCACAAATCTCTTACGTATTATTTAAACTTTGTTGATGCTGTGGCTGACGAGAATGAAGAATGGCCCATTCATGATGCATTTCAGCATTGCGTTGTGCCTGGTCATTATTTCACACTTTTGTTGCACTGTATATACCATATATTAACACTGACTTCTTGCATGGCACCAGTATAGGATCTTTTCGTGAAAGACTTCTGATCACAGGCACAGGTCTGTGATTGACTCCTCAATCGCCACGCAGAGGGCCCTGGTTAAAATGCCTATCTCACCCTGGGTATTCTTTTTTTTTACTAAACGCGAGTCACAGACACCGGTGGCGGCAACAGGGGCGGCGAAGAATGACTAGCAATCAAAATCACCTGTTGTAATCCCATAACAGCTTTCGCTGTAAAAGGTAGGGGTCCTGCTTACGTTGCGATAATGTTCAGGAAGTAGGCAATCTTATTAGTCTGCAATTAGGATGTTCTTATGCTTATATTACCTGCAATAGCACGTACCTTTGCGACGAAGGTGGTGTAGAGGCCGTTGAAGTCGAGAATACAGGAGACACTAACGTTGAATGCTACCGGTGCAGGTGGGTTGCAGTCAGTGGTACGGCGAATGCCGGTATCGAAACCTCTCACCGCTCCTTCCTTCATCTTGACCTTTGAGGTCACGATTGAGACCCCGCGTATTCTCAACCTGGATTCAAAACAAATGGGCGTCGAGCACAACAAGTACTGTTTCGTATATGTCAGCCTATATGAATCGCTTTCTGATTTAGCGGCGGCGAGCTCAGATGCTATCGTGTAGGAATGTACTTCATGTGAAACCATGCTTCAAGTGGACATTGAAAGATAATCAAGGTGACAGGTACGCTGAATACCTGTCTGAAGCAGCTGACAGTAAGGCTGGACAAAGTGCACTTGCTTGTCGTGCCAAAAAAGCAGAAATGCTAAGGACTATTTTTGAATAAATGACGGGAAATGCCGAAGTGGTTATGAGGCCAGCGTTAGAATTACTGTAGACTTCGATTCACGCTTTCTTTTTTCAAAAACATATTCCTCTAAACCTGGCAGCCAAATATACTGAACACTAGGACGAATTTTAGCAAAATAGAAAAGTGTTTAAGATCCCCAACTCGAGTAAAAATTATCCTATCTTTATACACTCCCCTGAGGTGAAGCTGTCATTGCTCATGTACTAATGGATGGTACTTAAGGAACTTTATGCACAATAGGGAACTGGTGGCAGAAGGACACATAGAACACCACATACTATATGAAAAACAAAATATTTTCCACGAGGTAGCAGTGCGACCTTACCTTGAACTTAAATTCCGGGATGGTTACATTCGGAAACAGTCTCGAGTTTGATCGCACAAGGTTTGGCATTTTCTGGAGAAGGATTAGGTCCATGAATGCATTGGAATCTTTTGCGCCACCCGCCCAGGAAGCTGTAAATGCGAACAAACCACCATTTCTTTACCGTTCCCAAACAAGTTATGTTGGTGTTTAAATGCTGCCGTGTACAATCATTATACCAGTGAATAGCACAACTAGTTAGTCAAATAGCAGATTTGCGTAAATTATGTGCTGTTACATCATCCTTCGTGACCTGCATAGTTTCTGACAGTTGCTGTTAACACGTTATTACGCAGTTTCTTTAATGTGGATTTGTAAATACTTACCACCGAAAAGGACAGCGAAAAGCAGGAGGTGGGCAATACCAGCCATTCTCTCTTTCATGAACCTAAAATAAAGGGGTTACTTGTTAATTCCGAAAAAAAATGCAGTTACATCTGCGTGGACATGGAATGAAATACGAAGGACACGTAATTTAGTGCTGCAACGTAATTTTCCCATAGTTCAACTGTTCTGCGGTATCATATTGAATTGTGAATGTAAGTGTAACCAGAGCTATACCTTGCCATAGATGCTCTGTAAAATTTATGATGCTTTTTTTTTCAAACGCTGTCGATCACATTTTAATAATTACTAAATGTTTTCACTCTTTCATCGCTCGGCACTAAAAAAATTCGGCAGATTCCACGTACTTGGGAATCGACGTTATGCGAAGCATGTGGAGTGAAGGCGACCGTGTGGCAACTTTTTATATTGAGCGACACGTCATGCAATGACGATAGCTTTATGTACAAATGTTGCACGCACAGACATGTGTCAAAGAGTTAAAGATGTTTATATCACCAGTTGTTTGCACTTGCGCAACGATGACAACTAGAACATGCGTATTAGCAATACTAGAAGTTGATATGAAGTGCTTATGCTCGCGAAGATGCTGGCCCTGAACACGGCTACATAAATCGACTGCAGCGCATGGCACCTAACCACAATGGACGTTAACCCGACGTGACGGCTGTATCAAAGGTGTACATATGTAATGTTTATAAGATTGGGTAGGCAGCACTGCAACCACTATTCACGTTTCATGAATATTAGCGTCTATTTGAAAGGCAGTTTTGAGACCTGGCGTAGCTCTATGGTAGGATGCTTGACTGCCCCGCAGAATGCTTGGGTGCGATTCCTGCTGGAACTCTGAAATTTATTATTTGCACTCGTCGGGGGGCCAACGCTGCCTATGTCAGATTTTTCTTAACACTGACGTTTATTCTTTGCATTCGTCATGTTGACGCTACCGATGTCAGGTATTTCTTAACGCTCGCGTGTTAAAATTGCCCATGTATGTTTTCATCGTTCCTGGGTAGATATCAAGTGTGAATCACCTGTGGCACATACCCACCCGTGGGTATGTGCCACTGTCTGGCGGAAAGTGTTTAACAACGTACGCAACGGGGTTGTGATATTGATCATGTCTTGACCAGCGCGTCATATTCTTCAAACCATCTTACCCTCCCTTGCTAATTTCGGTTCACGCAAAGTTAAGGGGGTGACCATGAGAGCACTGAAACGTAAGCGGCTAGATAGATAGATACGCTCAAAGTCATCAAAGTTTGCTAATAAATGCTTCGCATTTAAAACAAGGAGGCATTGGAAGCAAGCCCAACTGATACTAACGCAAGTCTGTAGTCAAGGCCGTGCTACATGCTGAGGGTGACGCTGTCCTCTCTTCCGACTACACCTTTCGCGACATGTGCGAGACTTCATTGGAGCAGGGCACAAGACAAGTGGCTATAAGTCAGTACGACAGAACAGTCATCATATTCATAATTAGATGCAAGAGCCCCACTGTCGCAACCACTTATCTATAGAACCAAATGTGTAACGCAGAAATGTATGCGTTTTGAAATGAGCAGCGAGAAAAAAGGACCCAACATCATAAATAACATGCATCACGGATGTCTGCATTACTTGCACCATGTTCCTTCGTTTTCGCGGAGCTCATTCCGAAAGTGCATATTCATATCCAACCTGCCCAAATGGCCATTTTCCTAACGCAAAACATAGCTTCTTTGTGTTTGATTTTTGTTTGGCCAGAGCAATATGAAAAAATTGGTATAGTTATACGTACTCAAAGCGCTTAACATTTCGAAACGCAAGGTTCAAAGAACTCCAACCCACAAATGTAACAATGGCAACATTACAACTTGAAAAGTCTGGGTAATCAATGCTCTGTTCCAGCGCTATACTTGTTTGAAAACGCATCAGAATCTCGTGGGTTATTCCGGCTTAACGTATTTTTTTTTATTTCAGGCTTTATCGTAATTGATATTTCTGGTAAGGGCATTCTGTCTGCAGCTGACATAAATAGAATAATGGTGGCCATGACAATATGACTCATTCGTTATCTCATAATTTGTACAGCGCGATTGTGTACAATTGTACAAGCATCATAATCACTGCCAATATATTCAAGAACTGATTGCCACGCTAGTTCAATGTAGAAGAGTGTAAATTAACTAAAGGTACACAATATTGAAGAAAAATAGAAGTGCTTTTCAGAAACGCACACGTGTAGATAAGAACTACTAGCGAAGATATCGCAAACAAGTACGCCTATAACATTTCAGTTGCCCTGTTATACATATTGCTATGACACTTCCCCGTTATTAGGGGCTGAAATATCCGCCTCAACAGTATGCACTGGTTGACCGCGCATACTACATCATTATGATAGAATAATGAATAAATAACGCAATTTTAAAACGCTTTAGGAAATTAAGCTACTAGGCCGCATCTGAATTAAGTAAATGTTTAGCAAGCATAAAGTGTACACAGTAAATGTATTGATTCCAGCAAAAGGCGTCAAAGTTCCATGCGTGCTCATAAGAATAGATGCTCTAGTTTAATAGCAGTAGTGGGTCTGGACAACTTCCTTTCGAGCTCTAGAGATAATGTTAGCGTGGCAACAGCTTGTCGATCGCGTGACACGCGTACGTACATTAATCCTCAGCTCGTTCCACTTTCGACTGAAGTAAACTGGATGTATTTATAACGGTATCTAAAGAAAGCGCTACGCCCAATAGACAAACTTGCAAGGTTGTGTCTTGCGCTACAATTACGAACACCTCGGACAAATTGGTTCTAGCTCTTTTCCTGACAAAACCTGAACGAACGGTGCTAGCATGCTGGTTAAAGCGTGCCCGGAATGAAAGAGAAATCGCGTTCACAAAAAGCATGCGTACCTTTGTTGCCTCGTCGGTTGGAGCGTCGCGTGTGGCGTTTTCCTCGAGCGACTATAAAGCCTCCCACCAGCGCCGACCCTTCCGGCGGTCGTCTCGAGTTGCCGCTTCAGATAGCGGTGGCCCGACGGCCAGTGGTGTGTCGTCAGCGGCCGCGCCACAAAACCAGTTCGAGCGTTGATCCGCCCCTCAGCTTGGTGACGTTCTCCTCGTCGTCGTCTCGTTGCTACCCGTCGGTGCAACCACAAGTGCCAGATGGTTGTGTCCGAGCGGCGCGCGGGGCTGTTTATGTAAGCGCGACATCTGAGACTGACACCTTCGTTGTGACGCCGTGTCCAGCGTCGCCGCACATACTTGACGCCCTAAGCTCCTATGATCAAAGGGGCCGTGTCACCTATCACCAGTACACCTCATCAGCAAGCCGAAACCCCCATTGCTCGACAAATAAACATGAAGGGCGCAATAACAGGAAAACTGGCTTCGTGGAAGCGTTCAAATAAATTAAGTATAAATGTATTCAGACGGAATATCTCGAAATATAGTCAACTTTGTACCATTTCTGCTGTCACATGTCTACAAACAGTATCTGTTGTTTTGCCTTGTTTACTACCTTACATTATTATGGGCAAAAATATTGTGTCACATCTTAGCTTAGACCATGTTGGCACGTTACAACTTGCATTTTCACAATGATATTTCAGATTGTACATGACCGACCTGCAAACGTCAACTTTGCTTTGAGGATTAGACAAGTTGGGTCGTCAATAGTAAACTGAAACAGCGCTAACAAAAGAAACGAAGAAGCAGCTGAACTGGTTGAAATATTGGACATAAATTGGAGATCGAAAACAAATTACACAAAATAATCAGAAAAAAAAATAATAAACTAATACCCTGCTATCTGAAATATGACCGGGCGCTCACTTCTATTTGGTTCTGCGACTGGCTTCATTGTCAGGTTGCATGAAATATAGTCTCATGAAAGCAAGCAATATCAGCCCAGCGTTGCGCTAAGGTACTTGTAGCATTATTAGTCACGCAACAAGTGTCGGCGTTTCGTACACTGTTTAATTGATTAAGAAACCATGCTTCTCATGATTCAATGTCATTTTTTATGGCTGAGCCATCAACAATTTAGCAACCTCCTGAAGACGTCTTTCATACTCTCATGTTGATGGCCCCGCCGCGGTGGTCTAGTGGCTAAGGTACTCGGCTCCTAACCCGCAGGTCGCGGGATCGAATCCTGGCTGCGGTGGCTGCATTTCCGATGGAGGCGGAAATGTTGTAGGCCCGTGTGCTCAGATTTCGGCGCACGTTAGAGAACCCCGGGTGGTCGAAATTTCCGGAGCCCTCCACTACGGCGTCTCTCATAATCATATGGTGGTTTTGGGACGTTAAACCCCACATATCAATCAATCATCTCATGTTGATGGTTCCTTGAGATTTGGTTGTAACTAATGTTTTCAACAGTGACGGAATATAAGCAGTTCACGCACACTATTCTGAAGCCAGCATCGCCGTTAGCTTCAAGAAGTATGAACTAAAGCTCTTTAGCTAGTCCTTGAGCAGGCTATCACTCTGAGAGTGCAGTGGTTTGTCATTTAAACAAAACTGCGTGCAAATGAAAGCAGCGTTAGCTTCAATGGTGATTTGCACAGCTTTGATCTTGCACAACAAAGCAGGACAGCAAGAAAAAGAGATGCTCGAATAAGCGTGCATCGTCCTATGTGAAATCTGTGCAGGGAGTGGGGTACGACATACCACTCTCTTTCGGGATGTCGTACATAGGGCTAACAGGCCGCTGCTTTATGAGCGGTTAAGGGAGTATACGCAAAATCTAAAAGAAGCAGATGGTGCTCGTTTTTCATACCATTGCCGAAAATTTGTGTGAGAGCCGATGTTCCGTGAGGCCGAAATTCAAGCAAGAAGCCGGAACAAAGGAGCCCGTGAACTCTTGGAGGTGTACCATACGAAGAAAAAGAAACCAACTGTGTTAGTGACACATCAATCAAAGATTCATTAGATATTCATTAGATTCATTAGATATTAGATAGGTAAGGGGTTAGAGCAGCACTTTTCTTCCCAGTTATCTTCACCACCAAAGCATGCCTCAAGTGATAACGACTTCATTGAAATTTCAGTTCTGAATGAACAGAGGTAGTAGATAGCATTCCATCAGTTTCTCCGGGCCCTGACGGAGTCACGTCGGCCATGTTAAAATTGCTGAATAAAGAATATCGAGAGATTTTATTGGAGGTAATCAACTACTCAATAAGAATGGCATGGCTCCCTCCGGCTTGAAAAATAGCTAAGGTGATACCACTGCTTCAAAATCCAGATAAAGGGTATGAACTTGACAACATTAGGTACATTGCGCTAACATTTAGTTTTGTGGAATTTATTTAGCGAGTGTTAAACATCCGTATAATGAAGTTCATTAACGATAAAAATATTTTGAATACATCTCAAATTGGCTTCAGATCAGGGTGCTTGGTATAGCATGCACATATAGATATTGAGAGTCGCATTCGGTTAGCTCGGCGTGAAAGAAAGTATGCCGCATTAGTAACGTTGGACATCGCGAAAGCGTGTGACAGCGTTGAGCATGCAGCTTTAGTTTAGCGGTTGCACAACACGAAGCTCTCAAATTACATTACGGCATGGATTGAGGAATTTTGTGTAATCAGACATCCTTTTGTTCGCAAAGCGGCATTTCTTCGTCTACGTATGTGCAATCACGAGGCGTTCTGCAAGGGGCAGTCCTTTCTCATTTATTATTTGATATAATAACTAGCTCTATACCACGGCATCAGAACGTACACCCATATGTTTATGCGTATGACATCGCATTTTTTGCTGCGGCTGACAATATTTACAATCTATATCAGGTGCTACAGTCATACTTATCAGCTCTAGAAGCGTGGCTTCATGAAATACACTTGCCTCTGAATGTGCGCACATGCTTCATACTGCCATTTCCTTTGAAAGACCCCATTTATACTTCCCTTTATTATCATCTACAGTGTATTCCGCAAGTTGAGCAAATAAAATACCTTGGTGTGCTATACGATCACTCCATGTCTTGGAAGGAACACATCGAAGACATATCGATAAAGGTTGTTCGGGTGGTCGGTTTGTTGTGCATGATTAGTCATAGTCGATTTGGCATGCAAAGGCAAATGCTTTTATCAATATACTGCATGTACGTTCGACCGGTGCGGGAATTTGGATGCATATTATACGCTGGCGCTCCTCCTTATAAGCTTCGCCCACTTGTAATGCTTGAGAGGCAAGCCTTGCGTCTGTGTTTAGGGCTTCCTAAATTAGTAACCACTGAAGTCTTGTATATAGAAGTTCGAGTCCCATCACTTGATTCACGTTTCAAATTATTGGCGTTACAATCATTTTTAAAACTCTATGAATCGCCAGCAAGGCGTTCCGAAACAGTTTTATCTCCCAGCCTGAGTTGTTCTTTGGAGCTTATTGGCCAAGATTTCACACGCCTCAAGTTCTTCATATACAGAGCTTCCTTGACAACTTAGATGTCCAAATAAGTGCCATATCTTCGATCAGTGATCGCAACAGCTCCATATAAACACAGTTTGACAAAATTTTTCCAAAACAAGCGGAACTAATGTCGAACCGCACTTTAAATTCTATTCTGAGTGATTATCTGGTTCATTCATCAATAAGGACATTCATTACGACAGATGCTTCGTACAATTAAAAAAAAAATGTGTAATTGCGATATTTGCCCCCTATTCTAGATTGGTCACTTTCTCTACGCATTCCATATTTTGTACTCACTTTTTTAGTAGAGCGCTTTTGCGATAATTTTGGCTTTCCGCAAATTAACTGCACCAACTAGATCGGTAATAATTTTAACTGATTGAGTGTGGGTGTGTGCCACAGTTTCCAGGCATTTCCTCCCTTCCTCCCTCCCTCCCTCCCTCGCTCGCTCCCTTCCTTCTTTCCTTCATTCCTTCTTTCATTCCTTCCTTCCTTCCTTCCTTCCTTCCTTCTTTTCTTTCTTCCTCTATCTGCTTGTACATGAATGAAAACAGCTTTGTCAGTGTCACACGTTCTCAGCCTGATAAGTGGCGTTGCCTTGATATGCACTCGGTATACGTCTGCACACCACAGTAGTATATATTTCATTGTGACCTTCGCAATATACCCGTTGCTTAGTAGCACCTGTCCTGTCATCTCGCATGTGTTCATTTTTCTAATCACGAACTCATGAGGCGATGTACTCCCTGGCTTATCTGTACTCAGCAGATAAAGGGCCCTGAATACACTGTGTGATGCTGTTGTGAGTGCTTGTGCGCATGTGTGTTGTCAGAAGTGGAAGTTGGATGTTTTAAATAATTTCACTTGTTATTCGGTGGCAGTCCTGTCAACTGATTCTACTTGTGTCCCGTCACCCGCGCAGTTTTATTCGTTGAAATGTCGTACCAACTAACCTGCCAACGCATATTACATACGAAAATTATCAGCCAACTCGCTCAAAGAGCTCCTATCAAGCAATAAGCACGGTAAAGAAAAGTTTTTGTGTTCGTGTGTGTGTTTGTGTATGCTCTATTTTATTTATTTATTTTGTGGGAGGGGATGTAATGCAGGTATCTAGTATCTTGGTGGGTTTATGACTGAGAAACAAGTGTTGACGAAAAACTGCACTGCCATCACCCAGGTGCATAACTTTACGGCACACTACGATCTGACATGCATACCAATATCGAAATTTACCGTATATTCTTGAAGAGGAAGATTCTAAAAAAGAAGAACAAGCAAAGTTGGGTGGAGGACGCTCTTTAAGCGGTCTTTGTCTGCACAACTATACCTGCTCCAGTGATGAATGTGTAGAGTAAGAGAAAGAATCATTTTTTAGGAGAGCTGGAGAAGTTTGCCTGGTTTTTCACCTGACATGCTACTCCAGGCGCCGGGTGATGACCATGATATACACAGCGACAAACACATACGGTCACATACACACATAACAAACACATAACACCTTGTCACAGACACGCACTACACTATTTACAACGTTTCACGCAGGCCTGTAGCCCATAAGAATGCTAGTAGCGCTTTTGTGGCGTGTAACGCACTGGAGATGTTCTGCCATGGGCCTAGAATATCTGTCAACTCCAAGTTTGCGTTCCGTTCACTGTGTCAGCCAGATCGTTTTCTATCCCCTGTTGTGTTCCTTTCATATTTGCTGTAGTGGGTAGTGGCTTGAAAACATGCCACTATCACTCGTGGAACGATGGTTTCTCTAATGGAACAGTATGCGCGGCCGTCCGGGACTATATTTATGAAACTAATAGGTTGACTAATTAACCAGTTTCATTATCCTAACATGTCCACATAATTATATACGTATAAAATCAGATTATTGCTATATTCTAAGAATAAATTTGTTTATGTAAATATTTGTATGCATTACATCAAGCACCACACTTGCCTAGGCTATCGGTAATCTTTCTGTTATACCTCCATCATTCTAAATCTGAACAGTAAATTTTAAAGCCACTCGATTCTTGGCCAATCCCCCACAGTGGGTATGCGCCACTAACAATAGGAGAACAACAACAACAACAACGATGGAACGAAATTCTCGCGGTGGCTTGCCGCAGGTCGTAAGCTAATTGATGTAACCAAATCTGCGTATAGTCGCGATGCAGTTGTTCCGCAAGGCAGGCGACCACAATTCATCAGGAAGACAGTATTCGTGGTCGAGTGAGCCAGCCGAAATTCGACTTCGCCCTGTGTCCCGTCGAAGCGCACACCGACTGTTTCATCAAGCCCGTTCAATTGTCCTTGAAGTTCGTCGTCTGACCTGAAAGAACAACCGCATCCGAGAAAGACTTGATGCAGTCCGTGTGGAGATTCATCCAGAGAGAGTAGCAGCTATGCGGCTTGTCGGCGTCCTGGTTTGGGCCTTCCTGGTGTTCTCGCCTCGGATTCATCAAGTGCGCGCCGACTTCACGCTCACCGTGTTGCACACGAACGACGTGCACTCGCACATTGACGAGAGCAGCAAGTACGGCGGTCTCTGCACCGAAAACCGGGAGCAGTGCGTCGGTGGCATCGCCAGGATAGTAACCAAAGTGAGCATTGTTATGCCATGCTATGACCTTTTTTCTTGTGCAGTGTTTTGCCAACAAAGTGGTAAGCGTGCCATTACAAATGCGTTTTGCGTCCCAAAAGCGGAGTATGAATGCGAGGACGTAGTCGTAGAGGAGGGCTCGGGAAATTTTGACCCCGGAATTAATCAATGTGTATGCACCTAAATCTAAGTACATGGGTCTCTAGCATTTCCATCCATCAAAATGCAGCCATGGTGGCGAGTATTCAGTCTCGCGCTCTTCGGTTCAGTAGTCGAGCACCAGAACCACCAGAGCACCCAGGCGGGTATGCAAAAAGAATTAAATTGCAAAATGTCCTTCTGTATTAACGTATGCCGCATTCACGCCAAACTTTTGCTCACACAAAGTAGTTTGCTGCATTAACTGACGCGCTCATTATAAGCTACACCGCGTGAGTTCATACACAGGTGTTGCTGACGAGTCATGACACGTTTTCGAGTGACACAGTAAACGGTCAGCTGTCCTTGCGAGTGAAAATCACCATCACTAGCTTGTTTTCAACCTCGAATTTATCATTTTCGAAGATAAAGGTAAGTGGAGTTGATGAGCACTCGCAAGAACAGCCTAACTCGCCCTTCATAAAACATGTCCTGATATCGGTGCCTCTGTACAGCCTAAAATGTGCTTGTCCACGCGCTACCGAATTGTAGCTCATTCAAAAGTCATTCGATACCTCTTATGGTAAAACAACTGCGACCTCAGTTTCGTATGTAGCCAGCGGCCGCCACCAGAAGCGCCGCTGAGGTTGAGAGGGAATACAAACGCTACTATCACTGTGGTTGTGTGTAGGACAGCCTCAGTTTTCTACCTTTCTAAACTTTTACGACGGTCGCGTTGCTTTTACAAGTAGCCACTTATAATGCTCCACACTTTCACATCAAGCTAATTTACACGAAACACTGCTACTGTATTGTGTCATGCATTTGCAGTGCTAATGCTTTCGTAATTTGCGTATTGTCTTTTTAGGTAAAAGAGCTAAAGAAAACGTATCCAAATACAATATTTGTGAACGCCGGCGACTTCTTTCAAGGCACAGCTTGGTACACTGTGCTGCAATCAGCACTTGTGTCTGAAGTGATGATCGCGATGGGCTACGACTACGCGGTGAGTGACTCGAGTGCTCAGCATAGGTATAAAAGAATTTGGTCACTATAACAAGACTTTTTTTTTTCTTGTTGCGCATCACTATCTCTATACTGTATGTGTAAATTACAACTTTTTCACAATCAATAAAATTACTTTATAGAGACTGCGAACGTTGCCTGCAGACAGAATGAGGAGACAAAGTACTATTAGCCAAACCTGTACAGCAGAAATCGTCAGAATATGTCACCAGCTTTCAGGAGAGCTAGTAGAGTATGAATTGTATAAGTTTCCCGTGTCCAAAGCAATGGTCTGCCGGCAAGCGTGGCTTGGCGATCTTGTAGGCTAGAACATGAGACATACCTTGAGTTCCCGAGATTTCGAGGATGATTCTTGCTTATGCTATAGCAATATTGGTACGCATAAAGATGCTTCGGTTACATTGTCGCGTCTGCATACGCGACGTTCATTTTTGTGGGAAGTGTCATCAGCGAAGTGTTTCAGAACTGACGTGGTCACAATAGAAGCATTAGCCATACGTTCACTGTTGCATTTGGGCAGCGCAAACACGCAGAAGCCGGCGAATGAAACGGGCCATAGACGCGTCTGAAAAGAAGAGAGCAATGCCAAGGCGATGCTTTAATACATAGTACTTGTGTTGGTTTATTTTCTTTCGCGCCCCACTTCTGTTATGAAAGCGACTTTTCATTTGGCTTCTGAAAGTCATATGTTACTATCGAGCGCATTTTCTAATACCAAGCATGGCATCGGTGGGAATGAGCTTACAGAGGAACATCTTGAGCTGAAAACGAAGAAAATGAAACTGTTTACCTACGTTCCTATGAACGACTGCTGGTTTGTCCACAGTGCCTCGGGAACCACGAGTTCGACAATGGACCCCGAGGACTGGCTCCATTCCTCGAAAAAGTCTCCCGTTCATCTCTCAAGATAGTCAGCTGCAACACCGACTTTTCTCGCTCTAGCAGTCTGCGCCACATCGACGTACCAAAGTCGATCATGGCGAGGATGCAGAATACCAGGATTGGAATAATTGGCGCCGTTACTGAGGACACCAAGGTCCTTTCCAACCCAGGTGAGTGGCCCAAAAGAAAGCACAAGGCTATTGTAAATAATGTTCAAGCGCTTGAGGCATGGACTACCGACCTTTTCTATCTTTATCATGCCCTGTAATGCGATAGAAAATTAACAAGAAATTTTCATTTTTGGTGACGTAATCTACACGATTGTTAGGCTGCTTGCAATCATAATACAGCAGGCAAGAAAGTTAAACGCAAAATCAATAGCACTCTATACCGGCTCTCCACAAGGGCTTTCCTTTCGAATTATTTTTTTTCGACAATCTTCTATTAGTACGTCTAGAGTCAAATATATCTATTTTAACTTGAAAGCGTTTTATGCCAGGGTCCACCATGGCTCTGCTGACGTACTTCCGTCTCGAATGTGACTATAAAGATTTATGTATTAGGAGATTGAAAAAAAAAAGCATTTGTCGCTCGGAATTGAAACAGCAACATCTCCAGGACGAGGACACGGCGGTAACAACTACGTCACAAGCGTATTTTTTCTGGAATGCCAACCGCAAAGCATTTATATCCACCATACTCCATTGGGCAGTCTCCAGAGCTTCGAAATCTACGAGTGTTCTCGTTATCAGTGGCAAGATGGCGCGACGAGTTCACGTTGGGTGCGCTCCAAAGGTCGTCGCCTTCACGACGCGCCGCCCCCACGGAGCGTGGCTTCGCCTGCGCGCGCACTTATCAGGCTTGTAATTGGGCAGAGGATGAAGGTCACTTCGCTGGCAGCCGCGGCCGCGTTTACGAAAGGAGCACGCTGCGGATACACGATGCGGGAATTTCGAGAGTTCTTCGCGAGTGTCCTGTGTATACTTGTGCGCTCGTTTTATGTGTCTTTCTTTTTCTGTTTGAACAGCGCGCACTTTAAGTGCCGAACTGTGACAGTGGTTAACCTGTACTCGTCCTCTCTACGCTATTTTCGTGCGTGCTCTCTGCTTGAGTTGTGTGCTGGAAACTTCGAGCTGCTTGCTATTCTTAACATGACTTTGCAATTTGCTGCTGTTTCTGAAACTATGCACAATGAACGCTCCAATGCTTCTGTAACAACACGTTTCACTTTCGTGTTATACCGGTTCCTACAGAGGGGGATCAGCCGGGTTTTTCTCAGCTCGACAAAATGTTTTGTTTTTCTTTTCGTACCTCCACTTTCATGGTTTCTGAATAGATGCAATCTTCAGGTTAGTAAAAAACATATTGAAGGGCGACACTAATAAAAAATAAGCCCCCCACTCCACCCCTCCGAAGTTTCCATAGAGCATACTTAACATGATGAACATTTTTTCAGGTGTGACCTCGGCAGCTTTTATAGCACTATTTAAGATGCTTTGTTTTACAGCGTTATAAAACGTGTATTGTTGCCGTGCTAAGTACTGTTGACTGGGGCTTCTTTCACTTCTCTCGACAAAGTTGAGAAACACTAAAATCAGGCTTATGATATAAAACACACTAAAGCAATGTTTGAAATCTAATATCAATGAGGCTTCATGTAAATAAAATATAGAATAGCTTTGCAACTTTATTAGTACTACGTAAGCAGAGTGACCTCTTGGAGAATGTTTAAAACAAATAAGAACAGGAACAGGCGCCATTGTTGTCTTTATTTTGACGCTAAAAAAGAAAATAATAGGGACCTTTTGGGAGCTTATTTTTTGACAATCGATCTTGTTTTATATCCTCTTTATCCTTCGGGGAAGCATTCTGACGAGCACCTGTCACCGTTATAGCTGAGATAGGGGCCTCGAAATGACGTATGACAGGAAATCAGTCGTTAATTAGGAGCAGGGTTACGAAATACGCCCGCTGATCTCCCTGAATAGCCCTGCAGAGTGTTTCATAATCGCTAGTATGGCTAACGCTGTTGTGCGAAAGTGATTCCTTCTCGCCATCTGGCATTTATGTTGGCGTTAGAGACTGATTTGTCTAAGGATATACCGGCAGATGGCACAAACTCAACAAACCAATTGGCCGAAAGAGCACACTTGTTGATTTCGGGCTACTGTCTACGCTTTCATGCCCTAGCTCAAAGGTAAATTGGGTATGAATTGAATGCCGAAATACGCCAAGTAACGCTGAAAATGGTACATCGTTTATTGGCAATACAGAAGTCGGGACGCTGCCAATCTTTTTAGGGTGGTTGAGAGAGAGAAGGGGTTACATTCAACTTTTATAAATCTTCGTGCATGCATGTGTTATATACACATGAAAGTCGAACAATTATCAGTAAGGGGCTGAACTCACATCCTCACCTACTGACTACGCCAATGAACAGAAAGATAATGTTCCCACCATCTGTTATTATTGTTCTTGTTTTGTATACCCATGCAGTGTCTTCATTTTCTAGATCTAATTAATACACTAAGCATATTGTTCTTCTTCATTGTTGTTTTATTGAACTAAGTATTGAAGGTCCGCCGATGATGAAGTTGGGCATTGTCTTTTTATTTGACCCCTTCTCGGTGACACTTATGGGCATAACATTTGGCGAACTTTTACAAGGTATGCTGCCACATCCCTTGAACTTTTCATAATGCACGTAAATAATGTGGCGCCCAGCAACTCACGAGTGCCGCTCAGTGGTTGACGTTCTCAGCCAACAGGCGTCGCTTTGCTAAGGGAGGTCGTCATTTTTTATTTTAGCTTTTTGAACGTGCTGTTGATACTGGTAACGAAAACGAACGTTAGTCAGTTGCGGTGTCAAACGACCCAATATTACCGCGCAAGCCGAGCTTGAAAAATGGTCACGCTAGAGGAGTCGTATTGCCAATGTTTTGCCTGTTTACACCTCTAGGTCACTGTTGTTGCCCAACACGACTGGGTTACTTTCGTGGCCTGAAATTGTGCTCAAATGACCTGTGTATTATTTACAAATCCCTCTACCTATGCAATGATGACGTCCAACAACTTACGAACAACCACAATATTTCGAGATAATTTTATGCATATGTGGCATGCATGCTGCATATGTGCGCTCTAATATTTTTTTCCGATAGCGACATCACACGGATTCACAAGAAAATGTTATAAGATAGAAATGCCCCCGAGAATTCAACTCTACTTACTTCAGTGGTGACCTGTGCCCCGCCGTAGTGCTCAAGTGGTTAAGGTACCCCGCTGCTGACCCGCAGGTCGCGGGATCGAGTACCGGCTGAGGCGGCTGCATTTCCGATGGAGGCGGAAATGTAGTAGGCCCGTATGCTCAGATTTGGGAAACTTCCCCAGGTGATCGAAATTTCCGAAGCCTTCCACTACGGCACCTCTCGTAATCATATGGCGGTTTTGGGACGTTAAACCCCACATATCAATCAATCAGTGAATCAATAAATCAATCAGTGGTTATCTGCTTTGAAGTAAAGCCTTTTTCGCATCGCCAGATTAACACGATGCACTTGTTCATCAACGTAACACAATATGCAGATGTGAAGGTTCGTCATTCCTCATGGTACGTCAATAATGCCATTCATGACTGTGTACGCTTTACGTCATGTTCGTGTTCTCTGAAGTACCATGTACTATTGTTGGATAAAAATGTTCCTTGTCACATAACACAAAACTTGGATGCAGTGTTTTAGGCAGCAAAGTGATTTCTAAAGAATTCATTTTCCTGTTTCTCTGAAGCTAAGTTAAACACAAACTTCTAATGTAGGCGCCAGATCAGAATATATTTATTGTTCGTGCCATCTCGGAATTTGCAATAACCATGACGGTATCATCGGAAATATGCTTTCCAAGATAACGCACTGCCTGAAAGCATGTTGGCCGGATCTTATGAAGGCAGACGGACAATATAAGCATTATATGACTCCGCTGAGGCTGCCTTGCAAACGTCACTTACCCGCGTATTCTAGAACGTCCCATCACTCAACGCTTCACCTTCACTTAAGAAAGCCAATGAGAGCGCCTTATCTACGAACGGCAAGTCACTGCATATCAGGGATAACCTACTGCGATTTTTGAGTAGCGCAGCGTCATTTTCAGCCGAGCAAGGGCGCACTGCTAAGCTCTGTCATGTGAAGGGTGAAAGTCGAGTCGAGGAGTGTTTGTGAATACGGGGGTTTGAAATAGATACAACAAAGAATTGAAAAAAAACTATTGACTTTGACCCGCGTATACATACACACACTCGCTCCAAGAAAGAAGTAATGCCTTCTACTTTGACAGCGGAGCTGTTATGGTTCAAGTTTACTGTGCGTCATGGATCGAAAATTATCACCGGCATGAACAGACACGCCCTCCCCGACCATCCAAGCGTTCGGTACAAAGAGGTGGCACATAAGCACTTTAGGAATTTCAGAGCATAGCTTTTATGGTCAATGTTGGCCGTGTGTTGGTAGAAAATCATCATCATCATCAACCGGCCCGCGCTCAATCATCTCCAAAGCATTCTGTATAGATCATTAACAAGAGAGTCTGAAAGGTGTCCCCCAAACATTACTGTCACCCTGCCTTGCGGAAGTGATTGCGAGCTGCCATAGTTTCATACTACCATAAGTCATGCGGACTTCACTTTTTTTTTTTTTTGAATACTGACTTGCCACACGTGCAGCTTTCTTCAAAGATACACGTTAACTCTCTTCTGGGGGTTCGTGCTTTCGACCCTTCTCCAAAGGAGTGTGATGGTCTCCAAAAGAGAGTTAGCGTTTAAAAGTACATATATGTGAAAAATCTGGAATCACTAAATATAGTAAAAATGTCTTTTTTATTTTTCTTTGAGTGTGGAACAGCCACTTAACTGTATATATACTGAACGAGAACTTTAACAAAGTGCTACCAGCAGGACATACAGCGATGTCTTTGTTGGGTTGCAATACTTTACAGGGTCAGTTGAATTCCTCGACGTGGCTAAGTCGGTACAGAGAGAAGCGACGGTGCTGAAGAAGATGGGCGCCAAGATTGTCATAGCCATCACGCACATCGGCTATATGCAGGACATTGAACTGATGCGAAACATCACCGGCGTGGACTTGATTATCGGTGGCCACACGAACACATTTCTATACAATGGTACGTGCAATACGGTCGCGTATGTCACCCAGACTTTCAACACTATACTGAAGATATTTCTCCTGTTGAACCGGAACCAAGCGAACTTTCATATGAAAACAAAAAAAGCGTGTGCGGAGTGTCTGCACAGTCTTTGGCAACAATCTTATTAGTCCATCGGGGCACTTTTATAGTTCTATTTCTCCATCCACTTGCTAATAGGCCGCGTTGCGTCTTGTCTGCACACTTCACGAGAAGTGTGACCACACATCTTTAGTTCTTTTCAAGGGTACTAACTAACATTCCTCGCTCCATAAAACATCTTATTTCTGCCTACATTCGATAATTAAACTTTTAATTGCTATGTATGAACCTAAATTTCAGGAATTTTCTTAGTGACAGAAATGTTTACTTTTTCATCAATGATCCGAATCACCAATTGGTTACGCAAAGCCAACTTTATAATAAATACGTGTCTGTTGCTTTTGCTTTTCTTGACTTCACCTGTGTGACAAGACTTTAAAAGTTATTCGTTAAACTAGATGCTTGTCATTACTCTCGTTTTTTTGAGACTGACCCGCGTGGGAGGAGAAATGCTTAGCGGCATTAATGGTAGAACGTCAGCTTCCAGTTCTTTTCTTCCAATACAAGAGAGAAAAGCGTATAGGGCGCACAAATTCGTAATTTCCTACTCAGCTATTCATACCATATTCGCATACTTCATAAAATTCAAAACAATGTGTTTTCGCGCAGAACAGGTTCCTTCTTTCAACGAGTTCTTGTTGTCCCTTTACTGCTGACTAGTCATCACCAAACGTGAAGTGTCTGTGTTCTTTTTTTTTCCTTTGCACAAGGAAATGATCACCCGCCCGAAAACGTACCTGTCGGTCCTTACCCAACGACAGTGAAGATGAGAGATGGCACAACTGGTCTCGTCGTTCAAGCATTCTGGTTCGGCAAATATCTCGGTTTTCTCAGAGTCACTTTTGACGACAAAGGGAGAGTCAAGTCCTGGTCGGGAAATCCGATTCTGATCAATTCGTCGATCCCGGAAGGTACCAACCCACAAGCGTTTGAATTAAAAAATAAGCTCTTCTGGCATAGTAATCAAAAGACGCTAGTGCCTTGATGACTTCAAATAGCATTCCCTTCTCACGATATATTAACTATGATCGCAAAGACCGTATCAAAGCGTATATCAAGCCTTGTAAGGAGCTTGTCTAGTTCTACAATTAAACGTCTCTAGACGAAAGTGGCCTCTGCAGTTACACTGACTTCCCTCATCAACCGCAATTGTTCTTAGTGCCACTGGCGCACACTCCCAGGGGTACACATAGACAAGTACACACAGTAGACATAGACGGGTACATGAATAAGTGGACGCGACAATAGCCGCTGAATCGTGACGTTACAAGGAAGGTATCCTGTATGTCTTGGCGGACCACATATTACTTGCGCCAGACTCCAAGAAAGTGTGCTAAGAATCATCCTTAAGAGACATGATTAAAATCAAATCACATCAGCAATGCCATGTGAAGACCCAAATACAGTGTCTGTACTTACTAATTCAGGATCTAGGCTTCTTTTCCCACAGCCTCGTCTTTCTTTTTACGACAGCACTAAAAAGCTATTTATGTGTTTATTTTCTATAGCCTCAGGCACAGCCTGACACACTTCGCGTTCAACTGTGGCGTAGCTAGAAATCTTTCTTGAGAAGTAGAGGTCAACCATCTAACCAATTGAATATCAATTAAGATCTTTGTTCTTAGCAAATATATAGCACATGAAGGTCGATTATGCAGAAGTATATCCCGTAGCACACACTTTGTGTATGTTCCTGTGTGTGTGTGTGTGTGTGTGTGTGTGTGTGGTGTGTGTGTGTGTGTGTGTGTGGTGTGTGTGTGTGTGTGTGTGTGTGTGTGTGTGTGTGTGTGTTGTGTGTGGTGTGTGTGTGTGTGTGTGTTGTGTGTGTGTGGTGTGTGTGTGTGTGGTGTGTGGTGTGTGTGTGTGTGTGGTGTGTGTGTGTGTGTGTGTGTGTGTGTGTGTGTGTGTGCTTTTTCCGCCCCCTATATGTGAAAATAACTAAAAGTTAAAAGGGGGTAGCCCGTACCACCAGGAGGTATAACGGGCTCAAGCCAATCTAACATAAATGAAGAGGGAAACTTCCCAAATTTTATTTTATTTGAAAAAGCCAATTAGTTAAAAAAATAACATGGGTAAAACCTAGTGAGTGCAGCAGAAACTGTAATAAATAAACTAGTTAGCTTCTCAGGAATGAGCAGGTCGATATGCAGCAGCAGTGTATTTCCCCCACTTGAGTTTTTGGAGTTCGTGTGTGTGTGTGTGTGCGTGTGTGTGTGTGTTGCGTGTGTGTGTGCGTGTGTGTGTGTGTGTGTGTGTTTATTTTAAATGCATTGTCGTTGAATGCAGAAAGTCCAAAAACAAACAACGAAGTGGGATGCGAGCCAGTGGTCTTGAGGATGGGTAAACGTTGACGAGGATGGTAGCAGTGGCCTCTGTGATGTCGAAGCCCATTTCTTCACCAGGAGTCATGTAGCCAGGCACGTCGGGCTGTCGTTCCAACCAGCGATGCAGCAGGGAACCTTGGGCAGCCTGTTTGCCGCTGCGAACTTAGACAAGGCTTCATTCGCAATAGTAACAAGCTTTAAAAAAAAAGGGGGGGGCGGGAATAGGTACTTGCGCAAGCGTTGCGAATGCTATGGTTCGAGTACTTGGGGAAAATGGAGCAGTGATGCTATCGTTATCAGTCGCCGAGGTTTTCCCCCACCTTTGTTGGCATAACTGCGACTGTAATCGAGAGCATTCACGCAAAAGTTGTGATAGGGAGGTGATTCGGAGTATGAAGCGACGTCCTGATAAAGTGTTGGTAGCTAATACGTGTCATGTGGATGTCATAGAAACAGAGTTGCGCATGACAGTCACTAACTGAAGTAGATACGCGCGAGATTTTTTATTGGTCAATAGCCCATAATAATGCGCAGGTAGTGTTGTATCACTTTTGGGCACACGTAAATGGGTCACAATGTGTTGCGTATTTGGGCATTCATTAAAGTAGTGTTGTTCGCTCAAGCAAGGTGCACCACACATACACCTGTCCGATGCAGTTATATTGAATCGATGAAGATAATACTGAAAGTGCCCGTGACCAGATAATAAGTGTGTTAGGTTTTTAGGAGGCGGGAACCATTGAGGAATTTTGTACGGACTTGTGATCCAATGAAATAGCGTTGTCTCAGGTCCCTCAGTCTGCCAATGGGTGTGCCAATATGAATTCAAGATTTTATGAAACTGAGTTCGTATTGACCGAATAGATAGTTTGGCGTAACGCACGAAGCCTGATTTCCCTCCTAATGCAGCTGCAGCGTCAGCTAGCTCATTTCCCAAAATTTCCATATGGCCAGGTACATGAAACAATTTTATAATTTTGCCTGACGAGATTATATGGTTAAGATGCAGCTTAATGTTTCGAATTCTTTCATCGTTATCAGTGAGACTTGAAAGCTTCATTAGAAGCGATAGACAGTCTGTGTAAATGTGGGCTGGCGTGTTAAAGTTGTTTGTAAAAACGAAATGAAGGGCTTCTTGGAATGCTATTAATTCCGTGTCGTATGCGCTTGAAGCGTTGCGGATCTGAAATTTTCTAACAGTTATGATTTTTCCATCCTTTGTCAAAGCAATATATGCCGCACCAGCCGCGTAGGACGTGTATGAGCCGTCAGTGTATACGTGAATGGCTTTTGTTTTGAAAATAACCGCTTCTTGTGATGGTGAGAGTTTAGTGAAAGTAAATTTATATTTTTTACTGGGGTGATAAGCCCACGGAGTGCATGGATATAGTATGTCAGCCGGTTTGAATGTTTTTACACCATAATAAGTTACGTTCCGGAGCATGAATAAGGAAAATTCTGCAGATTGTCTGTCCAACTCTAGTGGTAACGGAGGCGCATTAGCGAGAATCTGTAGGGATGACGTACGTGTGGTGTAAAATGCACCTGTTAAGGAAATTAAGACGGTTCGCTGAACTGATAAAACTCGCGCCCTAATGAATTTTGATGGGAACATAGGCCACCATACCGGAGATGCATACGTGAGAGAGGGCAATATCACTTGACGGTAGAGTCGTCTAATGAGTGTACTTTTTAATGAACGGTGCGATTTAACAAATGCGAGGAGTCGGGACGTGGACACTTCAGCCTTTCCTTTAATATAGTCAATGTGGGCATGAAAATTTAAAGAGGGGTCAAATAATACGCCTAGAATCTTGATTTCTTTCTTGTGTTTGAGAAAAATGCCATTCATGCGGATAGATGGGCAGCGTTTTGATGTACCCATGTGTCCGTTATTAAAGAACACGAAGAACGACTTCTCGGCGCTTACGGTAACTTTTGTTCTCGTGCCCAACCAGATACCAAAGCCAGGACATGCTCAGCCTTTGCTTGTAATCGGAGTCTTGACTTATCTGTGATAACAATGATGGTATCGTCCGCGTACGTCTGTATGTGTACGTCGGGTGGCACGGAAGATTGAGTAAGCTGTATATTACTATGTTCCACAGTAGCGGACTGATAGGGGATCCTTGCGGGCTGCCAATTGTTGTACGAACTGTCTCTTCTGCAACGTTGGTTGAAAAAGTTACACTGCGGTTCGATAAAAGGATTTAAGTAGAAAGTAAAGTTTTGTGGACACCTGTGCTTGCGTAAAAAGTTCAAGACTGCAGGATGCCAAACACTATCGAATGTTCCTACAAATCAAGAGATATGAGTATGGTGGGAAGTTTGGCTGCCTTGTATGCAGCCAATTTGCTTCGCAGTGTATATAGTGCTAAAGTAGCACTTTTATTGTGCGTAAAACCGTATTGATTATTGTGAAGAAGATTATTATTGTGTAGGAAATAATACAGACGAGCATTTAAGAGTCTTTCTAATACTTTACTGAATACAGAGTTCATAACTATTGGTCTATATGCATTAGGCGAATTGAGCGGACGTCCTGGCTTTGGTATGAATATTACTTTCCCTCTTTTCCAAGCCTGTGGGAAGTGTCCGATTCTTAAGGCGGTATTGAAGATAAAATAGAAAAATTGAGGATGGTATTCAAATAATCCTTTAATGAACGAGTAGGTTAATCCGTCGTGTCCAGGGGCAGAGTGTGAGTTACCCTGTTTCATCGCGCACTCTATCTCAGATATTGTAAAAGGAGGGTCAAAAGCATGCCACGGGTAAGGACTAGCCGCAATGTTACGCATGATAGTGTGGTGCATGCTGTCTTCAGAACAGCTGTCCACTACTACCAATGTATCGAGTAGTAGCCGGGCGGACTCAATTACAGAAGCTGTGCGAGTGCCGTTAGGTAAATCTAGAGGAGGAAGAAAAGTTACTTGGTGGTGTTTTTGAAATGTGGTTTTGAAAACATCACTATATAAACATTTCTTAGTGAGAAAGTCACAAATGTCTTTATCAAACGATGATTTTGCTTTCCTGATTTTGTCCTTGTAGGTTGAGAATGCATCAACGTACAATTTGCGATACATGTCTCGAAGAACGGGGTCAGCTGTTCGCTGGTATCGTCGTCGCATAGCCTGAACACGCTTACGTTCAATAGTCAATTCTGGTGTCCACCAACCATTACCTAAATTACTACGCGATGTTATGCGTCTTGAGTAACGTTGGCCTAACGCGGAGTATATCGCATAAAACTTGTCTATAACCATGTTTAGGGCTTCAGGTGACCCAATGTTGCAGCCGAGTATCTTTGTGAACCAAGTATCGTCCTTTAATTTGTTAAGAATTTTCGCTCTTCCTAGATTAGTTAATCGTTTAGCACTGCTGGTATGTGCTTGCGAAAACGAGAATTCAATGTAGTTGTGGTCCGAGAGGGTAGGAATTTGGAGAACCTTCCAATGGTAAGCATCGCGAGTGAGGTCATGCGAAACCATGGTTAAATCAATCCATGAATCTGCATACGGAGTTGTAAAAGTTGGAGGGGAGTTGGGGTTGTTCAATATGACTAAGTCATTCGCCGTCACGAATTGGACTACTTGAGAGCCTCGAACATCCCCTATAGCTGGCCCCCACATTCTATGCTTAGAATTGAAATCTCCGGCTATGATGACAGTACAATCTGTAATCAATGAAACTACACATTGCAACTCATCCAGAACTGGGTCAATAGGTCTTTGCGGCGGTGCATACACAGCAATCAGTATTAATGTTTGGTCAAGGCTTTCACACTTTACTGCAACAACCAAATCTGTTACGTGTAAAGGGAAGAAGTCAAAATTAGTGTTGTGCACTAAAAGCATGGCGCGAGGATTGTTTGGTGCGTGGAACTTTGTTATGGTGTGTGGTATGCCTTGAACAGTGCCTGCGCGGATGTGCGGGTCACACACGAAGGCGAAATTGAAGTGTTGTTGCGTCATGTGTTCTATCAATAATTTTGTGGCATCACGTGTATGGTCTAGATTAGCCTGTAAAAATTTTAAGTTATTGCTGTGAGTCATAATAGTTCTGATCAATTTTAAATAACAAGCGCAACGCCTTTCCTAAAACAAAAATGCGAAAAGCTGTAAGGAGCCTTTTTTCATGTATTGCAGTGTGACCCGCGCAACCAGCAAATATCTTGAGGAAAGAAATATCGTGTAATTTTGTGGAATGTGTGGTTACTTGTAAGTGTGTGTCATATGGTGTAATTTCGTGTATGAATATGCCGTAATTAGAAGAATAGCGGCAAAAGCAGCGACCTCCATGTGGTCCATATAAATGAGTCGAAAAGGATGCGGGCACTAATGCAGGAAACCGTAAATAACACTGCAAGTTATAGAGGCCGCTGGGTCCTTCTTTGATGTACACGCCTCCTGGATTATCCATAGTCTGTTCTGGCCCTCATGCGGGCGACACGTTCTCGTAATATAGGACACATTTCGTGTCCAGTTGGATGAGAACTAGGTCTTGCGACCTTTTGGCATTCGTTGCAAACAATTCCTGGATCGTTCATTCTAAGAGTGCATGCTTCGCCAAGATGTGTACCCGTGCACTTCGTACACACCACTTTGTCAGGCACCGGAGAGATTCGAACTCACGATCTCCTGTTTGCTAGACAGGCGCTTTAACCAACTAAGCCAAGGCGCCTGCGCTCGTACACACCACTTTGTCAGGTTCGTTGGCGACAGGACAGGACTTTCTTGTATGGCCGTACGTTGCACAATATGTACACAATGGCACATGAAAGTCCTCACTCACGCTACATACTGTCCAACCGAGAAGAACTCGTTCCTGAGCAAGCAGTGAGCGACAGGTGGAAGGATCCACTTCGAGCACATGTGTGAAGTTGCCCGATCGCTCCTTGTACGATACTGCCACTCGGCATGTGGTCGGGTCTAAATGTAGGTTCGGATTGCGCATGTTTAGCTGTGAGATGATGTTGGCGGCTGGAATATCGGAGTCTACACCAGTGAGTTTGACGCGAGGTTTTCGCTTTTGGGGCAATCGGACTGACAATGACATGCTTGTGATTGCGTTCTTTTCAAGTGCATTTTTTAACCTAGTAATAGCGTTATGGTCGTTTGTTAATATTGTTAATCCATGACGTGTCTTTCTGATAGTAAGTTCACCAATGTTTTCCCTAATAGGGTCAATGTTTGACTTAATAATCTTCGTGACCTCATTGGCAGGATTGGTAGACGGAATGAGTGGGGTTAGAAACATAATATGTTCATGCTCTCACCTGGTGGTGTGCGTTGTGTGTTGGTCAGCGATGTCAGACCAGTGCGATGGCAGTACAGGGCGAGAACAAGTCTCAGGCCAAACGTGTGTGTGTGTGTGTGTGTGTGTGTGTGTGTGTGTGTGTGTGTGTGTGTGTGTGTGTGTGTGTGTGTGTGTGTGTGTGTGTGTGTGTGTGTGTGTGTGTGTGTGTGTGTGGTGTGTGTGTGTGGTGTGTGTGTGTGTGTGTGTGTGTGTGTGTGTGTGTGTGTGTGTGTGTGTGTGTGTGTGTGTGTGTGTGTGTGTGTGTGTGTGTGTGTGTGTGTGTGTGGTGTGTGTGTGTGTGTGTGTGTGTGTGTGTGTGTGTGTGTGTGTGTGTGTGTGTGTGTGTGTGTGTGTGTGGTGTGTGTGTGTGTGTGTGTGTGTGTGTGTGTGTGGTGTGTGTGTGTGTGTGTGTGTGTGTGTGTGTGTGTGTGTGGTGTGTGTGTGTGTGTGTGTGTGTGTGTGTGTGTGTGTGTGTGTTGTGTGTGTGTGTGTGTGTGTGTGTGTGTGTGTGTGTGTGTGTGTGTGTGTGTGTGTGTGTGTGTGTGTGTGTGTGTGTGTTTAAAACCAAAAATTTTAGAGGAGGCGATTGAGCGGGGGGCGTTACTACCCTTCAGTCCTCCCCACTTCCTGTGCTACGCCAATGGTGTTCATTACCACTCCTCTACTGTCGCAGACCCTTACATATTGAGTGTAATCGAGCCGCACCGCGAGACGGTGTACCAAGCAATGCGTCTACGCGTGGGCAGCTCGAGAGTGTCCCTGGAGCACGCTGAGGACGTGTGCCGGCTGCGCGAGTGCAACCTGGGAAACCTCGCGGCCGACTCGTACTTTCACTACTATTCCAACAGGAAGCCACGCTCCCGCAACGTGTGGTCGAACGTGAATGCGGCTGTCGTGAATGGGGGTAGTCTGCGCGCACCAATTCCAAGAACAGGTGAGCCAACAAGAGTCGGCCGAGTATGAATCGAACGTCTCTTCATAAACCGATCTAATGAGCATAAAATTGTACACGCCCGTAGACACTGTGTCTTTTTGTCAGCTATATGAAGTTAAAATAACGTAATTCGACTTGCATTGGCAAAACAGGTAAACATTTTGAATAGAACAAGAATACCTGACGAAAAAAAAAGCCATTCTTATTCTTGAGTGTATTTTGCTCGTCTTTTTGATGAACGTCATCTCTAATAGCTCCAGACGGCTTTACTAAACTTATTTGTATAACCGTCTGCCCAGGCAACTGTATTCAATGCCACGATATGCATCATTCGGTTTCAATGTAGCACACATAAAAATTCACTACAAGATCAAAAAAAAAAAAACCTTGCTGCTAATGTCCATTTTGGGAATTCCTTTTTTCTACAGCGAGTGTGACGATGGGAGACGTCTTGTCGGCGCTGCCTTTCGGTCAGACAATCGTCGTCGCAACAATGAGTGGAAAGAGCCTCAGGAAGATGATGGAGTACTCGGTGGCGACGTACAACGTTTCTTCACCAGCCGGTTCCTTCCTTCACGTGTCGGGTGAGAAAAAAGAGAATGCGGTCTAAGAGCCTAATTAGGAAAACTCTCACTAGAAACAGGAACAAACTACGGCACTTAGTTGCTAAAAGGGCTGGTTCCCTATTTTCTGAACAGCTATAAAGGATAAATGGAAGCCAGTGATGAAACCGCATACATCCTTGCGTTTTTAGAGCGATGAAAAATATCCTTCCTGGATTCTTTCTAGCCTTTCTTGCCGTTTTCTCTTTGTTATAGTAATGTGACAATGCCGAATCCGTTCATGATCCCCTTATAGCGTTATAAAATCATCCATTGTAATTTTGTTTGCATCGCGTTTGTTTCCACGTATGTAGCGTAGCATTGTTGAATTACCTGCATCTTCTCAGTTTAATATTGTACGTAAAGTTTTGCTTCACTATATTTTGCTCATCAAGTATGATACTTAATATTCAAATGAATGCGATTGCAGGCCGTTCATTTTGTCTTGTTATCACGTTATAATTACCTCTATGGCTCCGCTTTTGTTGCATCTATGACACTAGCATTCTAGTGAGGCCTCCATTTTCGCCTTTTGCTCCGGAGCAGTTTCAATTGTGTCATCTATTGTCAAAAAAGTTTATAATGTGATCGACTTGGGAAAAGTGCAGCACGTTTATTATTCTTCATTGTAGCCACTCATTTACCTCGCTCTTCGCACTTGGATACACTTCCAAAAAAAACGTGCGTAATCAGTCCCTAGCGAGACAAACCTTAGCAAGACAACCTGTTAACTATTAATATTAATTTATTCACTTTGTGATAGTAATCAATAATTGATGTCGTAAAAAGCAGTAAAGGTAACCTTAGTGTAAAGACAGAATATATACAGCAGATGCATAGACTCTAACGTGCTATGCAATCAGCAAAAGCTAAAAAAAAAGAATAACCTCATCCCCGTTCAATGCATTCGTTTATTTCTCGTAGATTGGATACTTTATTGAAAAAATCCTATCACCCCCTAATATTGAACCTATTGCCATTCCGCTAGCTTCACAAGTACTAAATTTCACATTACGTGTCGCAAACGGATGACGACGGCAAATGACACGTCCAAACACGATAATCATGACATGCGTGTCATGTAAAACATCTGTCAATATGGTTGATTGGGCGAGTTGGTGATACATGACTGTTTTGAAATGAGAGTGCACTACTTAGACATGTCCCTGTCTTTCTGTCCGCGTCTAAGTAGTGCGCTCTCATTTCAAAACAGTCATGAAAACAATACTACATGCTACGCTCAGAGTGCGCTCGCGGCCATTTCGCCAGCTTTACATATACCAAATTTGCTATTACATGATTTGAATGGACGACCAACACAAATGCCAGGCGCAAGCATAATAATCATGACATGGACGTAATGTACGGTATAATTTACATTTGCCTCGTAACGTTGTGCTGATTTAACTGTGACAATTCAACCTTCCTCATTCGTGATTCGCATATCATCGATTCCCCCTGTACGTCGGGTCTACCAATTTTTTGTTTTGTTTTTTCTCACGTGTTCAAAGGGGTGCCAGGTGGCGCTGCCGGCGGAGTGTTTGCTTGCCTGCATGCATGCCTGCAAACAACGAAGAAACGCGAGCACTGCGTCCGTCGCTGCTTTTAAGAAAAACAATAGATGTCTGCGTGCGTTAAACGACCACTAAAATATTTGTTTTATTATAAACGAAACTTCATGATGCCTGAGAAAACCGCACGCGGTTTCACTTTCCTCTTGAACAGCAGTACAATTGTCATCGCCTTCAACTACCAGTGTTATAGGCATTCATCCCATCAATGAAAAAGACTGAATTCTAATTGGAAAATGCAGTTTTAAAAATGTCGGCACGCTTTCCAGAAAAAATGATGTAAGGTTAGACACTTGAGATGGCACGCTTTTTATTGCGACACAAAACAGAAATGCAGTGGAGGACGGTAAAGATTTCCTTTAAAGAGCTATATGTAGACAGGAAGCCGCACATATTTGCTCTGGTTTCCTAGATTATGCCATCATTTAACCTTGAGTTGATTAAGAGTGCACGTTGGTTGCAGAAAGCTTTCATAGAGAAGGAGGATGCAGAGAAGAGTTCAATGCAATCTACTCAGAACAAGAATATATCCTTTGTCTTGGAGTCATGTAAAGCAAAGACATAATGGATCCGGGGACTTTCATATTCCTAATGTCACACAGGTATGAAAGTTGCGTTCAATATGACACGACCGGCCTACGATCGACTTGTCCGGCTAGAGATCCTTTGCACCAGATGCTACGTTCCCAAATACGAAGATGTCCGGGACGACGCCGTGTACAACATCGCCACGACCGATTTCCTGGCCAAGGGTGGAGATGGTTTCGACGTGTGCGCTAACGTCAGCGAAGGAGGTGAGAACAACGCAGTGTTGCAAGCGTCTTCGTTCTACATAGCTTGCTGACTTCGTTATGCGCGTCTCCTTTCACCCCGCGCACATCGCGATTCGTGAATAAATTATGTCGATCGCTGCCACAAGCTGTGTCCGTGTTTACCGGCGCCTCTCTAGAATATTTCGCCGGTTGGAGGCATCTTTGCTGAAACCTGTTCTCGCATTTTACTGAAACTTCAACACCCTGCTAAAATAAGTGACACAAGGCGACGGCATTGTACGATCCACAGTGAAGTGTTTTCTCCCTATTCAGTTCAAATAAACACAAATTTCTGGGGAAGTTGAAGGTTTGAAGCGCTGAGAAATATTTGAAGAAGAAATTTCACCGGAGACGACGTTTCTATGAGTAAACTTGTCTTTGTACGAAAAACAATCAACGTTTGTCGAAACCTTGGCTCCAGCAACATGCTTTGTTCAGAGATTTCTCACTGCTTTCATCTGATTCGCAATTCTATTTTGACACGCATTCACACCAGCGAATCGCAGAGGTCACGCGATCACAAAGACGTACAAATGCCCCAATGGCCCAATCGCCAGACAAGCGCATGTGCACGAACTACCCCGCCCTGTGGAGGGCAACCACCTCTAAAGCGCGCTCCACACCATCTTCGCGCCATCTCGCAAGCGATGAAGTCGCCGAGCTCTGAGGACTATCAACGGTACATAGTGTGTATGAATAGCCCTCCGTTAATAAGCTGATCCCCGTACGCTCTGTGGCCGCGTGGTTTCACGATGCGTACTGCGGAGCGAGGGGTCGTACATTCTACGTCTGGCGACGAAAGTTTTCTTCTAGGTTTTTCTTTGCAGTCTGTAGGTTTACATTTTGCAACGTCACAGCCTTGACGGAAATTCGTTAGCGAAATGATGGTGGACCCTGGCATTAAACACTTTCGTGAGGGGCCCATAACAAATTCTTGTTAGATGCTGGCAGTTGTGTGTTTTAATAGGAGGATTATCCTACAAAAGTTTTTTTTTTTAATCAGTGCATTACTAGCTGAGGAAACCAGTATTTTGAAGCGGCGCGAAACCATGATGAGAGGAGGCGAGCTCGAAACCCTTGCCACTCGCCCCGCTTAACCCTCGCAAGCCAAATCCTCTTTGACATCCGAGCAAATGGACACGTGCGCATGGCGTTCCCGAGAAAGCCCAACCCCCAAGAGCGCGAGTGGCGTTGTTTTGTTGACCAGTGTTATTTGCTGGTTTACTGCCTGTGTCTGCGTGATGCATTGCACTCGTCAGCTACAATTTATGTATCCATTGCGCTCGTCAGCTGAAAATTGTCAAACTTGGTGAGTTGCCCTTTAAAAGAAGTGCTGAACCGTTCGGCACTGCTGGAGGAAGACGTCGGCGTTGCAAACACCTACAGTTATTCGACGTAGTGAAGGTGATGTGAACTGGTGCGAGCACATGTAAATTGCATCGATTGCTCGACGTTTTGTTGCGGCGATGAGCACGTCACCACCTGTCCTCAAGTCGCGAGCGACTCCTTGATCACAAGGAGCTGTTTCTCACGTAATATATCTTGCAGATGCATGTGGTGTATTTTTGCGCAATCACTGATAAACAATAGGGCCACCCCTTCTAGAAGAACAAAACGAGTGTCTACGGACACGTTTCTTGGGACTGCTTGGTGCAGCATAGCAAGTGCTTAAAGCGCGATCGGACGGAGACAGCAAAGGACAAGATAAGGGCTCTCGTTCCCTATAGTGTGTTTTTGTACATTCTAGCAGTCCTAGTGGCCGTTAGACTTGGCTGCTTCCAATATGCCCAACCTACGGGCGTCATGGTAGAAAGAAGCAACAAACATCTGATGGACTCGCTTCGTGTAATGAACAGTAGAATACAGCATATATGTGTCTTATTTTCGTTTGACTGCCCCTGTGAACACCCCTTGCTGCACGTTTTTGATAATTATTCACGGGTATGCCTAAATATTGTTCCCATTTTCGTATTTGTCTTTTCCAAGGTCCGGTTGAGTACGAGCTCCTGGTCGACTACATCAAGCAGATGTCTCCAATCAAAGCCGCCATTGAAGGTCGGGTCGTGCTACAAGGAATAAAGACCAAGGCAGTCGTGGAAAAGGAACTGACGTATTAAGATTGCAAATAAAATTGCAAAGCAGATTTATTTATTCGGTGTAAAATAATATTCGCTTTTTGCGCAAGACGTGATTGCTCATAAAGCAACACGTATCCCCAGTAGAATACGTTTTTTTTTATTAAGATTAGAATATAAAGAAACAGATACTAAAGAAAGGGTGATAATAAAAACTCGCTGGCTGGCAAGCAGTATATACATGAAACACTGTGATGAGCTACCTCGATGGTGCCTTGAATATCCAATGGAAGTTAATATTCAACAGGACATAATGCATTGTGGGCATTCACGCTCGCTAAATATTCTGGCTGGGATGTACATTACGACAGCTTGAAGATATTGTTTTACTGTATATTACGTCCGGGATGTCTATTCAGTCTTACTAAACACTTTTGGCTAGAATCCGGTAACATTTATGGTCCCTTTCACCTAACGAAGACTAGAATTCCTTGCAACTGCAGGTGTAACGACGCTTATAAAACCAGTAAAGATAGGTGGGGAAGAACAGCCTGAAAAAAAAAAACGGTCGCTTGTGAACTGCAGTTTTAGCTATTCTTCAAAAACAACTTATGTTTTCACAAGAAAGTTTCTCTATTTTCATTTATCTCCACGGATATTGATAGCTTTCAGCACTCAAGCATGGCACGTGATTATTAATTTTCTAATGCGATGCTTCTTTGACCAAAACACCTTGAGGCAACGCATAGGCGTTCATCCTGGCGTATCAGGGTGACATATTGCCCTTCTCGTACAACAGAATTTTAATTGTCAGTTTGCATGTGATCCGTTGTTTCTGCCAAAACTTTACAGTGTTCTCGGGTACATTGAAAAGGTATATGGTACGAAGCTGTGTAATAACTGGAATGTCATGTTCAACTTTAGACATGACACACTATTTATTATCTTCCAGCCCAACCATCAGCAGACGCGTGCGTTTTTCCGGTCCCGCTCCTAAGAGAAGCCGAGGTACTCGAAGCAAATGGCATAAGAAACCAGCTTTCCCTTTTTTATTTACTTTAAAGCATGTGAAGTTTAAATGTGTGCCATAGACTTTGCTAACATTAGACCAAAATAAAGTCCAATAGTGCAACAGAAAGCACACCAAATATAAAAATGACACACGCCGAATAAGAACAATGGCAGGCTGTCAAACGAACCTTAACTGTGTGTAGATTCCAAACGAAGCATGTTGCATCTGTTGCCACTGGTCTTATGAAGGTTGCAAGTCGGAATAATTTCTAAGGTGTTGGAAATATCCTAGAAAAAATGTCGCCGACAATTGTGATACTACCTAATGCGGATTCTGAGCCCAGCATCGTGTCGAGTCAACTATGTTCGAAGTTCTTACTTTCCGCGAAATATCGACTGCACCATAAATCCTAGTTTTTCTGAAGCAGAGCAGCACCCACTACAGCACTATTCCTCTTCCTGCGGATATTCGAAGCTTTCGCTACATATGCGAAAGGTATTGTGTGAACTTTGTTGACGCTGCATGTGGATGCTGATGATGATGTGTTATGGTTGAGCACATTGTAGTGGGTGGAAAGCATTAAACCACATAGTCGTCGTGCAATTAGGAATGTGCGATGCCTGATTGTTATTTTACTCTTCCACCACGCTATGTTACCTATATATGTTAACGAGACTCCTTTTTCAGAAATGACGCCTCTATAAGGTCTTCTTGCAAAAGAACTTCAAGCACCAGTCGGGCTTTATGGTTGAATACTTTACAGCCACGCAGAGAACCCGGATCGAAACTTCATTTGATCCTCGCTATCTTTTTTTTCTCATTTTACTGTTTGATGTCTGTTGGTTATGCCTCTGACGGCGACACCTGTCAGCGCAGGCCCGAGTGCAGAGCTGCCCTCAAGTAAGTTGCACTGTTTTCTCAACTGAAACAATAGTTTTCTGCTGCCTGTCGGTGTTCACGTGGTAATTCTCTGTCTCCTAAATGGAGAGCATAAACCCGCGTAGGACAAGCAGTTGTTCGTCGATTGAAATGCTGCTGTTTGTGAAGGCTGCCATAAAGATCAATGAAAACAGTACACGCAGCATTCTAAGTGTTAGTACATTTATTTACATAGTACATGAGAGTTAGTACGCCCATTTTTTTTTTTGCCTATAGGCGTCACGTAGCACGTGATCTTATTACGAGCTGGCAGCTGACCAATATTCCCTGGCATACCACCTCAAAGCATTAAGTCTACCAGAACGAGATCTTTTAGCAAAAAGTGGGTTTCCCACACTCGCCGCTATGGCAACAGGTGGCGCTCATTGACGCTTCCACGTTTACATGCCCAAGCATACCCCATAGAGTGGACGTGTGGCTATAGCCGCTGTGGTAGCGCAGTTGGCAGATGATCGGACGTGTTATTCAAAGGTCGCAGGTTCGTTCCCTGCCGACGGCACGTTGTCTTTTCGTCCTATATTTTTTCTTCTAATTACATAACAATTACTTCTAGTATATTTCCTATACTCTCCTTGGCTTAATTGTCTGTCAGTTTTGATTAATAATGCGTTTAATGAAGAAAACGAGTCCTTAAATTTACCCTTCTTTACTACCGGACAAAAAGTAGACACAAGCGTTGCGTCGACTTCTTGTCCTGTAGTACGCGCTGCTTCAAATAATATGGAACCATACCAACTAGCCGAGCTGTCTACATTGTTCCATCATGAACTGCCATGTGCTCTCACCGTTCTCTTTTCTATGAACCTACCTATAAGCTATTGGTAAGTTATCCGTACACCATAGAGGCGCTCTGTCAGGCAGAACCCTTCAGGGGGGTATGGGCCACAGGAATTGTGCAAGCCCCACCATGGAGTACAGAGGAAAACAAGCTCAGCGTTTGCACATACTACTCAGCAAAAGGGAGCACGCGAAAGAGAGAAATGGAAACAATAAAACGAAAACACAGACAGATAGAAATAAATTGAAAGAAAGAGGAAGAAAGCGATAAAAATATAATAAAGAAAAATGGCAACGCTTTCAGTAAGTCGCTCAAGGCTCTAAACAGCCATGCCTGACTATTTTGAAGCACGACAAAAGAGGCGTTAAAACAACCTAACAACGACTAGTTAGAGCCCAGCAATGACCTCTAAGCAACGTAGAAAGCAGCATAGTTAAAAACCTATAACAACTACCTACAAACAACCTCACAGCTTGGAAACAACCTGGCATCAGCTAGCTGTTATCTAGCATCAACCTAACAACAACATGTAAAGTACCTAGTATCACCTCACCAAAGTTTAGCAATAAGCTACAACCTACAAGCAATCAGATTAGATTCCATAATGGTACAGCTCCATTTCTTCAAGCCCTGTTCGACTTGGGAAAGGCGTCGCTATCCATGCCTATGTAAACTACATTCGTACAAGAGTATAGCATCCATAAATCGTGTATGCTGAGCGGCTTCTTTTCGCGTCACCTATATGAAAAGAATAACGGTGATTTTGTTAGGTTACGAAATTAGTTGTAAATCAGTGAAAAACTCAGGCGGCATGGAGATGGTGAATAGTGCTTATTTCACTAAGGTATTTCTGTCACCATGTATCACACCTTATCCCCAAAATCCCTGGACGAGCATGAAAAATTACGTATAAAGTAAAATAAAGCTCCTGAGATTCTCTCCCTTCATCTTTCTGTGTGCATTCTTTCTTTTCTTGTGGCTTGTTGTAAGAAAATAATGCCGCCCTTTGGTATCTTGGGCTATTATTATGTGCTTTATGTTGAAACCGCTCAGAGAAAAAAGGAACGTCGTATTTTTTTTAAAGCTGCTCTTAGGATGCTTCAAAAAATGGCAGCATATCCACGGAGTGAATGATGGAGAGTGGGGCGAAGCATTCTTCCGTCCATTCGTTCTTGCTCCCGTCCGTCCATGCGTCCGTCTGTGTGACCGTCCATCCGCCCATCCGCCCGTCCGTGCGTGCGTCTGTTCGTGCGTCCGTCTCTGCGTTTGTCCATGCATCCGCCCCTGCGTCCGTTCATGTGTCCATCCATGCATCTGTCTGTGTGTCCGTTCGTCCATCAATGCAACACTCCAAGTACCACCATCTCGCATCTTTTCATCATATATTCCCCATATATAAGGATGGCCACCAGGGGGCCAGGGAGTTCGGATGTGCCTCGCATCAGCTCCGCGGAAAGTTGTTTGGTCTGGTGGAAATTGTGCAGTTACAGCAAACAACTCCTACAATCTCCTGCCTGAAGTTCTCTGGACCATCTAGACCAAGACTTCAGGACTGTGAGTACGTTTTGGGGCATTTTATGGCTATTTTGGTGTCGACTGCGTCTCCGCCCAGCAAAGCCTAACGCTAGCGGTGAACAAACGCGGCGGCTCGGCGGTGGCCGACGCCCCCGGCGTTCGCTTCAGAGCCCCGTTGTGGAGACGCGACGGCAATGGAGGTGACCGTGGAGGGTACTGAAATTACCCCTGAAGAATTTAGAACCGCTGACTGGATCACGTAAGTTGGAAAACATGTTAAAGAGCTGCGTGACGCCGCTAGAGGTGACAGACAGGGACGCCAAGATGGCAACGCCCGGGCAGAAAGTGGAACCGAGCCCGGCGAAGACAGGAAGAAGACGGCGGCTGCGAACGCAGCATACAAAAAGCTGGGGCACAAGATCGCGGAGCGCTCGATTGCGTCGTACCTACCGCGGTTGCCGGCGAACGACTACAAGATAATCATTCGTCCGAAGTGCGGGCTGGCGCTCACAAAAATTCCGAACACCAGGCTCAGTGAAGCGGTGCGCATGGCAGCGCAAATTCCGTGGATTAAGGGACAAGAAAAGGAAGTGTTCATTGTTAACGACAAGCAAGGCACCCTGATTTTCAGCACTCCAGACATAGACACTGTCTGGAAGGTGACCAGGATTAAGTCTATCAAGATTGAAGGCAAGAGCTATGACGTCACGGCGTACCTCGCGCCGCACGAGGATAGCGGGCGGGGTGTGGTGCGCGGCATCGACCCGAGATTGTCAGTAGAGGAACTGACAGAGGCCTTCGACAACTCAAGGAACCCGCCGATACTT